GTAAGTTAAAGACTACCCATGGTTCTTAATAGCCTTTTATCCAGTTCCGTTTTTCGTAAAACCACCTACTTTGTTGCTTGGAAGCCACTTTGGTGTAGTATTGTATTTAAAAGTGCCAGACCAGAAGCCAGCAGACTGAGTTCTAGTCCTACTTTACGCACAAAGCCATTTCAGTGACTTGGAAGTCAATCATCCTCTCTTAATCCTAGCAGAAAGGCAGCAATGACAAACCACTTCTGAAATATTGGCAAGGAAATTGCATGGATTCCTCCACTATTGCCACTAGTGACTGACTCAAAGGGACATTAAAAAAAATAGTTATCATTACAGTGCCTATACACAGGCTACAGGACCTTAGGGTGGCTCACAGGGGCAACTGCGATGGCGACTGCATGATTGAAGCCAGAGCAATAGCACTTAGACTTATATACTGCTCAGGGGTGAAATCTACTTACCTTCCCTACCGGTTCGGAAGTGCGCGTGCTAAATCTTCAAATCTGATTTTAGACCCTCTGTGCCTGCGCAAAGCCTGCGCATGCACAGAGGGTCAAAAACAGGTTACTTCCTGGTTAAAACCAGGAAGTAATGACGTCTGGGCGGGTGGGCGGAGTCTCACATTGCCGCCGCTACTCATTCGCCGAACCATGCACCGCCACCGCTACTGGTTTGCCTGAACTTGAGTGAACCGGTAGCATTTCATCCCTGATACCGCTCCATAAGGAGCCTTGATGGCGCAGTGGACTAAGTGCTGTTAAAGTAGTACTTAGCTGCCAGCTGCCTGCAGTTACTGCAAGTTCAAATCTCACCAGGCTCAAGGTTGACTCAGCCTTCCATCCTTTCAAGGTAGGTAAAATGAGGACCCGGATTGCGGGGGCAATAAGCTGACTTTGTATAAAAAAGAACACCGCTTGGGGGGCCCGAAAGCCCTACTAAGCAGGTATATACAAAAGTATGAAGGCTATTGCTTAATGCATTGTAAGCCGCCCTGAGTCTCTGGAAAAGGGCGGCATATAAATCGAACTAATAATTAATTAATTAATTAATTATGCTTTACAGACCTCTCTAAGCAGTTTACAGAATCAGCATATTGCCCCCAACAATCTGGGTCTTCATTTTACTAACCTCGGAAGGATAGAAGACTGAGTCAACCTTGAGCCAGTCAGGATCAAACCCCTGGTGTGTGGGCAGAGTTAGCCTTCAGTACTATATTCTAACCACTGTGCTACCATGACTCATATCCCTTTCATATATGTCAGTAAAAGGGGCAAACCTTTGACTACACAGCTGCAGCCATCATAATTTTTGTCCCCACCTTCACAGATACCCCTGGGAAGTCACCTGCTGACCCTTTGCAAAATGAGTAAAGTATCCAAGGGGTCTCCCAGAGATATTGAAGAGTGTTAACCTTGGACAGCATCTCAGACTGTTAGGCAGCAGGTTCTTAGTTGAGTTTCCTTTTGGTTAAAGTGTAAAAATAAATGGGGGTGGCTCATTTGAAGCTAGAGCCATGGGGAGGGAGAAGGAGGGAGAGAATTTAGTGGCAAGTGCTTCCTACAGTCACAACAGACAGTAAAGGAAATAAAGAGACTAAGACAGTCTCCCCCCCCCCCCCCCCGGGACTCTTCTTGACCATATAGTCACATTCACAGGCACTATCTTGGCTTCTTTGACTTCATTGGGACACCTGTAGCACCAGATTCCAATGGCTAATTTCATTCTTTAGCTACTTTATGTATTGTGCAGAAAAAGTTCACCAGGTTTTAGCATTAAGAGTGTGTGGAAGAAAAATATCTGCTCTCACCTTCTCCAGTCTAACCACAGATAGACTGTCTCTGTAATTTCTCTGCTTCTCGAAGCTTTTGTATTGCAAGTTTCTCTCACTGTGTAATTTCTCCTAGATCAGGGTTTCCCAATCTAGGCAAATTTAAGATGTATGGACTTCAACTCCCAGAATTCCCAGCATGGCTGACTGAGGAATTCTGGGACCATGGGTTTTCAAGTTGCCAGGGTTGGGAAACCTTGTCCTAGATCAGGGGGATCAAACTGGCGACTCGTGGGCTGGATGCATCATGCGCAGGCCACACCCGCCCCAGCTCCGTGAAGGGAAAAAAGTCACAAAATGTCATGTGACGGCATTTGCTGTGAGTTTGACACCCATATCCTAGATCATCTTGATGTCAGGTTGAGGCTACAAAAGAAAGATTATTGAGTTAAAAAGGACCATTAACAAACATTAAGCCAGTACAACGAAAAAAGAAAAGTTGGTAGCACATATGTAATCATATAGAAAAATACATAAATATATATATATAGTTTTCCTGGCCAAAATGATTGTTATTCAAATGAAAGTAATCTACTTTGGACTATAAATGATGACCAGATTTGGATGAATTTGTTCTTAGAATATTTCAAAGCTCTTTATTTTTAACCTAAAAGAATTTTCCATACCTTTATATAATACTCATCCAAGGAAATGTTACTTTTCTGGTGTTTTACACTATTAATTTGGCAGCTAGCACAGGAACTGAATCAGTTCCTTATACTGCATTAATTTATACGTGCTAGAAAAAATAATAATAAATGAACAGCAGGAATCGTTACGAACGATTGGTGATTTTTCCAATTTCTTCAAAAACTTCCAATGACAAGGACTAACTAATTAGACATTGCTATACCAAAAATAGTAATATGTGCCAATTTGTTTACAACGCAACCAGTACAATCTGGAAATATTACAATTAATGTTAAAATGCTACGCAAAGTGTAATACCACCTATGGATTATCTTTCAGTCAATTCTTAATGAATTGCTGAAATAGATTTAAAATAAATTAATGCCCCAAAGTGTTCCAGTGAGTTTCTGGAAGTTCAAAACCCAGCATTTTCCTCAAAATATTTTTACATGTTCAAGAGAAGCTGTTGTGTTTATTATAAGTATTTGATACAACATTAATGAGATACAAGTGAAGTAAATATATACCATACTTAAAGCTATTCTTGGTTTTAATTGAAGACACCTGGATACTTTACAAAAGATTGATTGGGTTTGATTCATTTGAAACCAGGTTGGTACTTGTGGCAATTTTTTTTTTTTTTTGCAAAATATATTTAGAATTTGCAGGGTCTCCATCTATAATTAAATCTCTAATTCTATATAATCCTCCTTATTCCTATTGCTTATGCTGTGCAAATTTATCCTCGTGCTTAAAAAAAGAATATTGGAAAATGGGAGGAAAGGTGTTAGTAGCAGACCAGCATTTGCCCCAGTGCAGATTATTCAGATGCTTAAATGTAAATGCAGATGTCAGAATGCAAATACAATACAGGAAGTGGGTCAGATAGGAAGCCATCAAGAGCTATATGCACATAATGCATAGAGCCACAGATTTGTCAAAGGTACTTCAGTACAATGTGTGAACTCAGAAGATTGCTATAATTGAGCCAAGATGGCGTGAGAAAGATTGAAAGAAATACAGAGCTACTGTATGTACCTTTGAGTTCAGCACTGGGCAATGTAGATGAGCCCAATTGCTTTATATCTCTCCTGAAAATTTCCTAAAAGCCCTGGTTTGTAGCTTCAAGATTAATGGAGCTTGATCTGATCTTGCAAAATAATCCAAAACTGATTATGGGGTGGACGATGCTGTTAATTCTTTGCTACCAATGCCTCTTTCAAGCACTTTTCTAATCTCCAGCAGTGCTGAGGGGAGGCCTTTTAATTTTTTAAAAATTTATACGTTTATTTAAAACGTGTCTATAACTGCTTCACTTATATATTAAATCTATTAAAATCACAAACATTTAAAACCTGGCACCAAAGTTAAACTTCCAGTTCCTCATTAAATCTCTCACCCACCTTTTCCCTATGCAGCATTTGGGGGGAAACCCAATTTTTCAATGCTTTTCGGGAGGCTAGGACAATAGAGGCCTGGGAAGAATAATCCACAGGGCAGGGGCTTTCATGGAAAAGGCAAATTTCCTGGCTCCCACCCTATGGAAATATTAATGGGAAGTGTGCTCATTCTATCTTATTTTATTTATTTATTTAGAAAATGTATATTGCCGCCTACACATTCAAGGCAGCTTACAAGGATCTTAACTGGTAGGACAGGTAGATGACCTTAAGGGAAACTACACAAGAAAAGATTACCTGGCCCTATGCCATATAGGGATTTAGAGCAGAGGTGGGTTTCAGCAGGTTCTGACCAGTTCTGGAGAACCAGTAGCGGAAATTTTGAGTAGTTCGGAGAACCGGTAGTAAAAATTCTGACTGGCCCTGCCCCCAGCTGATCAGGAGGAAATGGGGATTTTGCAGTAATCTTCCCCTGGATTGGGGAGGAAATGGAGATTTTACAGTATCCTTCCCCTGCCATGCCCACCAAGCCACACCCACAGAACCGGTAGTAAAAAATTTTGAAACCCACCACTGCTTTAGAGGTAATAGCACCTTTAACTGCACCCAGAAAAAAAACTGGGAGCCAGTGAACCTCGTCCAACAGAGGTGTTATATGGGTAAACCTGGGCATATGTCACTGGACTGAGGTAGAGTTCCTAAATATTTAAGTCAGTTCATTGTTTTGACTGGCAGTCATAACGAATAAGAAAACCTGCATAGAAGTGGCCAAACACATATAAAATACATTAAAATCAAGAGGTGGGATTCTGCCGGTTTGGACAAACTGGTAGCTCCAACGATCAGCTGGGCCCGCCTGCCTGCCCCTGCGCTTTACTTACCTTTATCTTCTCAGCTGATTGGTGTGGCGGAGCAGATTGCCGTGCCTCAGCTGTGTTACTCCGAAGTGGTAATACAGAAGGTTAGTATTTGTAAAACTGCAACCGCACGAAGCACGCGATCATCGAACCGGTTTATTAAGCCAAGTGAAGCACGCGATCACCCACCACTGATTAAAATGTACAGAAATCAGTAAGAATATTAAGCCAATGTTATTGCAGCAAATATGTTCTTAAGTAAAATATTGGACTTTGTTCTTTTTCCCCCAGGTTGGCACTGTATGTGTACGAATATCTCCTCCATGTTGGGGCTCAGAAATCTGCACAGACCTTCCTCTCAGAGGTAAGAATAGGAACCAAAGCTTGGGGGAGGGTGAGCAGACGGAGGAATATCCATTGATATGCAGCTCAATTTGATCATTGTAGATTGGATATATTTTCTTTAAAATTGGAGGTTCTGCAGAGAGGATTCTAATAAACGACAAAACAATACAAAGTTTGGAGGTGCTTGTTTCCAGGCAAAGTTTGTAATCTCTTTTTAAAAATATTTTTCAACACAGACCGAGGGTCTTCATACTGTAATGTGATTTGTAATAATTAAAATTTAAATTTCCCTTGAGTAGTTTTCTTAGCAGCATTAATGAAATGATTTGACACTGCCTTTTTTGGGAATGTTGCTTTGACATTCCAATTTAGCTCTCGGTGTTATATCGCCTAGTGGTCTCCCATCCATTACTAAGTAAGCCAAAGCATTAATTGCCAAGTGTTAAGCCAGGTGTGGCCAATTAGTGGGCCAACTTAAACATATGCTTCTGTTTTCTTATTTTCTCCTAGTTACATTTTTTTTTTCAAGGAATTCCTTTATGTCTTCAAAGCATCCCCTGGGGATGGGGGAAAGACAAATCTGAATAAAATGTTAAAACAGAAATGTATAATTGAAAGATACCAGATGACAGAGCTGGGTAAAATGAATTGTTTTTCTATTTGCTCCATTTTTTCCTTTTTGATTCAAGTCTCTCAGAAGCACAGTTCGCACACTATTACTACTGCAAAATCTTAATAACACTGAATCTGCAATCCAAAGCGCAATCCCCTTGAGCAAAGAGTAAATTCGCAAATAAGTTGGGAGAAAAAAAAATATTCCTTGGGAATCTTAATGCAGTGATAGCTTAATAATAATGTCGTTAGTGGCTCAAAGGAAAGAATTCTCCAAGGACAGAAGTCTGGTCTGGTGCCTCCACACCCACTCTCTTGTGAACCAGATGCCAGAGCTTATCATTTCAAAGAACAGAAGAATAGCTTTCCTGGATCAAGCCAATGTCCATTTTAGTCCTGCAGTGTGTTTCCCGTAGAGGCCAACTGGAGGCATCTTCGGTGCTTATACGCAGAAGAGAGAGAGATATTTCTCGCGCTGTTGTTTTTGTTTTTGCAGAAGGAGTTTAAGAGACATATTTGCTCCCAACCTGGAGAGAACATTGAGTGATTAAAGAGCCTGTCCTCCATTAATTTATTCAATCCAAATTATTCACAGATTAACAGAGTTGGAAGGGACCTTGTAGCTCATCTAGTCCAACCCCCTGCCCAAGCAGGAGACCCTACACCATTTCTGACAAATGGCAGTCCAATCTCTTCTTGAAAGCCTCCAAGGATGAAGCTCCCACAACTTCCAAAGGCAACTTCTGTTCCATGGGTTGATTGTTCTCACTGTCAGAAAATTTCTCCTTATTCCCAGGTTGAATCTCTCCTTGTTCAGTTTCCATCCATTGTTCCTTGTCTGGCCTTCAGGTGCCTTGGAAAATAGATTGAACCCCTCCTCTCTGTGGCAGCCCCTCAAATATTGGAAGACTGCTGTAATGTCTCCCCTGGTCCTTCTCTTCATTAGACTAATCATGCCCAGTTTCTGCAACCATTCATCATATGTTTTAGCCTCCAGTCCCCTAATCATCTTGGTTGCTCTTCTCTGCACTCTTTCTAGAGTCTCAACATCTTCAGTCTTTTTAATTAATCTTCAGTCTTATAAGTTACTGTCCATCACTCAGTTTTAGAATACAGGACTTACAACCATTCATCTGATGACCTTTCAAAGTCACAGTGACATTTTAAAAAAAGTGATTTAGGACCACTCCTCACACTTACGACTGTCATACCATTTCCACAGTCACATAATCAGAATGTGGGGGCTTGGCAAGCAGCATGTATTTACAACAGTTGCAGCATCCCAGGGTTATGGTGATCACCGTTTGGTACCTTCCCAGCCAGCTTCCAAACAGCAGAGTCAGTAAGGGGAAGCTGGATTCACTTAACAACTGCATGATTTATTTAACGGCAGTGATTCACTTAGCCACGATAGGCAAAGGGAAAAAAAAAGGTCGTGCAATTAAGTGTGACTCACTTAACCACTGCCTTGCTTAACTATAGAAATTCTGGTCCCAATTGTGGTTGTAAGTGGAAGATTACCTGTAATAAATTTCATTCCTTCCTACTACCAGGTAGGTCACAATATCCTGGATTATTTGGATAGAAGACTTCTAGGAAATCCCGGGCTGAAAACTACATCTGGGTGGGGTTTTTAAAAGCCAGAAGATGGCAATCAAGGGCAAATTACTTCCATGTCGATGCCAAAATATCTACATGAATATGTGTATGAGGCTGCTTGGAGTCGGGCTGTACTTGAAAGAGGCTTACTTAATTTTTGTTGCTACTATTCTAAACCTTGTTGAGACTTCCCAAGGAGCCTTCGTCTCTAAGTCTTAGCCATGCTTCTGCAGTTAATGGTTTTGAACGGGGCCAGAAGTGTTTTGCTGCTGATTTTCATTTATACTGTGTCCGATACATCTCGCTCCAATGCCCAACAGTAGTCAGACAGAATTGATGGATTCTGGTTCCCCTGAAATTGTTTTTCCGTGGTGAAACCTTTCACCATGTTCATCACTGACTGAGCCTAGACTTTTGGGGAAAAAGTTCAAGTGTGAATGTAGGAAATGAATCTTCAGTGACTTGTGGCACTGCATACTGTAAGAAGTTTGTCAACTAGCTGAATGTAGTTTGGCACTCTGTTGCTAAGAAAATTCTCAACTATATCCTTGAATGCTTTCTAGGTGACTTTCTCTGGTCCTACTAACAGATCATTGAACTGCTTGTCATTGATGGTGTATCTCAACTGTGATCCAACAAAAATGCCTTCCTTACTCTTGGCATCAGTTATTCTTGGAAACATCTGTCTCAAGTAACAGAAAGCATCACCTTCCTTGTTCATTGCTTTCACAAAATTTGTACGTGAGCTTTATGGGAAGAGGGGCCAAAAATATCTTTCTTGTGTCAATAAATGGTTCATGTGCCACTTTTTCCTGCCCCAGAACCAAATTCAACCAAACAGCAAGGGGTTCTCTGCCCGGTTGCTGTGTGGGCGTGGCCATGGTGGGTGTGGCCTAGTCAGTTTCCTGCACCATGGTGGAGGGGGGCATTTTTGCCATCCCAGGGCTCCGGAGGCTTTCCTCGAGCCTCCAGAAGGGCGAAAATGGCCTCCCCAGGCTCCGGAGGCCCTCTGGAATCCTGTTTCCGGGCTTTCTGAACTTCCGATAAGCCTGTTTTTACCCTCCCCAAGCCTCCGCACACGCTCTGCACTTACCTGCATCCAAAACGGACCGCGTGGGGACTCCTGGGAGATGCGAGGTGGTGTGGGTGGGGCCAGCCAGAAGTGGGATTTGTGGGTTCTCCAAGCTGCACAGAATCTTAGCTAGAGGTTCTCCCGAACCTCTGTGAACCCCCAGCAGCCCACCCTTCTGTCTGTCTGTCTGTCTGTCTGTCTGTCTATCTATCTATCTATCTATCTAAATTTATTAGCTATCTTTCTTACCATTCTGGGCAGCTTACAATCATAAAAATAAATATATCTCCTTCTTCTTCCCCCTCGTTGTGTATATATACGTATACGTATGCATATACACACATACACATACAGACACATAAATAAGTTAGTGCCAACCACTAAAATCCAACTACAGATGGAGAAGACAGGGGCAGGATGGGAGGGAGGTGGAATCTGTTGTTACTCGATCAACCATCTCCACTCTGATGCTTCCCAATTGGGGGCCCAAGCTAATTGGCAGAGCCAGGTCTTTACACCCTTGCAAAAAGTAAGGAAAAATGGAGCCAACCTCATATTGGGGGGAAGTGGGGGGCAAGATGTTCCAGAAGGCAGATGCAATGGCAGGGATGACTCTTTTCCTGGACCCCGCCAGCTAGAACAGTCAGGCTGAAGGGGCCTGTAGAATGCCTCCTCTGGACGGGCCAATCCCAACGGGACAAGACAAGCCTGGGAGCTTGTCCGAGTATTTGGTAATCTGAGCTGCATTCCAAGCAGCAGAACCACTACTTTTAGGTCTCCACAGATATTCCAGTTGCCCTTGGTGTACTGGATGTGCTTCAACAGCAGTTCCATGTTTTCGTATGTTTCTTTCATATGTGCAACATAGTCAACTGGCACTAAAGGATGTACAAGGCCATTGTGTAAAAACAGAAAATTTCCATAAAGTGGCTCCTGATAATTTAACTTACAGATTACTTTTGTGATTAGCCACCTAAAATCTATGAGATACACCCAAAAGTGTTCAGGAAGCCATTTTTTTTATGGTCCAGTGGAATTCTGGGTGTTGTAGTTCTGCCACTTTCGGAAGTGGTAAATTGGGGAAAGCTGGTCTCTTATCTATTTAACTGGTACTTTATTGCTTCTCCGCAGATCCGGTGGGAAAAGAACATTACCCTGGGAGAACCACCTGGCTTCCTTCACTCCTGGTGGTGGTGAGTAGCATCCACAGTGTTCTCAAAGGGATGGTGGGTGGAATGCATTGTCTAAATCAATGTTTTCCTACCTTGCAACTTTAGGAGGCGTGGACTTCAATTCCGGGACACAAAGTCCACACATCTTAGAGTTGCCAAAGTTAAGAATGGTTAGTTTAGATCAGTGTGCATTGTAATGTTGTCGTCACGTGACATATCATGCAGGGGTGGTATTCACTTACCATCGCTAAGGGTTCGCAAATGTGACCGTGCGCATGCGCAGAACATCAAAAAGGGCCTGGTGGCTCAGCAGACTGATAGCATTGTGATTAACACCAGCTGTCTGCAATTACTGTAAGTTTGAATCTCACCAGGCTCAAGGTTGACTCAGCCTTCCATCCTTTCTAAGGTAGGTAAATTGAGGACCCAGTTTGTGGGGGCAGTAAGCTGACTTTGTATAAATATACAAAAGTATGAAGGCTATTGCTTAACGCACTGTAAGCCGCCCTGAGTCTCCGGAGAAGGGCAGCATATAAATCAATTAAAAAAAAAAAAGGGATGTGATGACATCCAGGTGGGTGGGCGGAGCCTCCCGCAGCCGCCACTACCAGTTTGCCCGAACCGGATAGAACCAGCTGAATACCACCACTGGTATCATTACTTTTCTCCCCTTAGCTAAAATGGGAGTGGGTGTGGCCAGTGTGTGATGCATCTGGCCCATGGGCCATGAGTTTGACACCCCTGATCTAGATGGATATTTCCTTGATTATTCAGTGTCAGTCTTTCCAAATATGATGTGGACATCACCTACCACAATTCCTAGCCAAAACTGTTTGGAGAGCACATATTCAGGACGGCAGGTCTGTGAACATAGGACCTGCTATTTCCTATCAGTTCAGCTCATCAAATTTGTTATTGGCTCTTCTGAATGACAGAAGATTTTCCAAGATCTTGGACCAGAGGGGATTTTTCCATTACACCCTGATTGAGATCTTTTTAAGGGGATATATGCTGTCAGATATTGAACTCAGAAACTCTCAGATAAAGAATCTGTACACTTACTGAACAAGTTTCCTTTCCTCTTTTGGTAACACCATTATTTGAGAACAATGATTTCCAATTGAAGATAAAGCCATGAACAAATCAAGGCCAACAGACATTCACCTTATCCTGCTTCTCAGAATGTACTGGTAGTCCTCACTTAGTAACCTCAGTTGGGACCAGTGACTCACACTGCTAAGTGACACAGTTGTTAAGTGAAATATCACGTGACTGAGTCAGATTTACAACATCATTTCTGCTGCAATCATTAAGCAAATAATGGTAAATCCTTAAGCACAGGATCATGTGACCTGTGACTTACTGCCAGCTTTCCCACTGATTTTGTTCGTTGGAAGCCAGCAATGAAGCTTGCCATTGGCAATCATGTAATTGTGAGGCACTACAGCTGGGACGTGGTGGCTCAGTGGCTAAGACGCTGAGCTTCTCGATCGAAAGGTCAGCAGTTTAGTGGTTCGAATCCCTAGTGCCACGTAACGGGGTGAGCTCCTGTTACTTGTCCCAGCTTCTGCTAACCTAGCAGTTCGAAAGCATGTGAAAAATGCAAGTAGAAAAATAGGGACCACCTTTGATGGGAAGGTAACAGTGTTCCATGCGCTTTTGGTGTTTAGTCATGCTGGCCACATGACCACGGAGAAGTCTTCCGACGGCACTGGCTCTTCGGCTTTGAAACGGAGATGAGCACCGCCCCCTAGAGTCGGGAACAACTAGCACATATGTGCGAGGGGAACCTTTACCTTTACCTTACATCTGGTGTAAAATGCACAGTGGTTGCCACTGGGGATATTGTGACAGCTCTTAATTTTGAGGAGTGGTCGCAAGTCCTACTTTTTCACTACTGTCATAATTTCTAACAGTTGCTAAACAAGGCAATGGGTAAGAGAGGACTACCTGTATTCTCAGCTGGGCTCAAGAGCCAATTTGCTATACTTTGAAGGTGCTAGGCTACAAACCAGGACACTGAATTCTAGTTCTGCCATAGGCAGGAAAGCCAGCTGGATAACTTTGGACCAATTGTTCCCCCTCAACAACTCATGGGAGGAGGTAGAAATGTTAAGTATGGATGCTGCCACGAGCTGACCCAATTAAAAATAAATAATAATAAAGGGAAGGGAGGGAGGGAAGGAATGAAAGGGAGGGAGGGAGGGAGGAAGGAAGGAAGGAAGGAAGGAAGGAAGGATAGATCAGCATCCTGAGAGTATCTGCATTCCTTCAAAAAGCAAACATGGAATAGGCTTTAACTTACTAGTCCTTCATGCAGTTTGAAATAGAGCATGTGGAAAAACCTGAGAAGTTGGGGGTGATGGCAGAAGAGATGGCATCACGGCGACCAAATTTCATATAACATAGGTAGCTCATGGAATCTCTCAGTACGTATACACAGATACACACATGCAGGCCTACCACACCCATCTTTATTTTTCCTGCCTTCTGTAGGAGTTTGCTGGCAGAGAAAATAGGGTGGAGAAAGTTCCCGGAAGGTAGGGAATTTTGGATACCCTTGGAAGAGGCGTTGACTGGGGAAGGGTGAGCGTGTGCACGTCTGTCTGTGTGTCTGCTGGATTTTTGCTCTTTCAGTCCCAACCTTAAAAGTCGCCCCCTCCTCCCAATTCTTGTTGTTGGCTTCAGGCACAACTGGAACACATTCAAGAGCTTTCCCCCCTCAATGCACACTCCTTCCCGGAAACCCCCCCTGTCCGTTGCGGCGTCTGGCTCCAGCTTCTACACATGGATGTGATTTGGAGGAATCCAGAGGCAGAATATTCCAGGGACCTAACTGGGGGTGGCGGCAATGGAGATCTGGCTTGATAAGTGTCCGTCCCCCCCAAACTTTGGCTCTTATCACAGGGAAAGGGCCTAGAAAGGGGGAGGGTTCCCTGTGTGGTGGGAAGAGAGTCTGGAGGGCATGATGGATGAAGTGCTGTATATCCCCCTCTCCCACTACGCTGACTCCCCCTGCCCCAGTCTCAAAACTTGGCTGGCTCTTCAGTTTTAGACGGATGGGTCTGTTTAGAGCATCTGCCTTCTTCCAACTGCCTTCCCTCCCTCCCTCCTTCCCTTCCACCACATCCCTTTCTTTTTTCAAGGGGCTGATTTTGTTTTATTATGTACGTGATTGTGCTGCAGCTACATTTTTCTACACTTTTTTCTCTTTGCATCTTTCCCGTTTTTTTAAAAGCGCATATGCACAAATTCCTTTCCTTTTGTTTTCCCTCTCCTCTCCTTCCCCCCCCCCCCGCCCTTCCTTTTTTTACAGAGTTGCTTTCTTTCTTTTTAGCCTTCCTCTCTGTTACTCTCTGAATCTTTCCTTTTGGTGGCATGTTTCTCTATTTCCCTTCATGAGAATCAGAGTTTGGGATCAAGGGACAATAGAGCAATAAGATTTGGCAGCATTCTGGAGTAATAAGAGACGGTTCATTAAAAGTGTCAAAAATGCACAGATATACTGTTGAAATGACTAGCTTTTCCTTTATCTGCCTGATGTCGTATGCATTGCAAGGTATTTATCTTCTTCCTGACATCTAATTTATTGTTTGTGGCAAAGTATATAAGTATTTGGTTTGAAGGATTAAGCATTGTAAACTCAATAACCTATACACAAAGAAACATGCATGTATACATATAGGTATGTATGTCTGTGTATATAATATACAGTGGCTAACAAAATATAGTTTTATTATATGCTAAGTCTTGATTGGCAATTCCTCAATTATTGATTCTCTGTCCAAGAATATCTACAGTATTCTCTCTCTCTCTCTCTTTTTATTTCTCTTTCTCTCCCCCCATGCCCAATTGATTCCAGTTGGGATCAAAAGGGTACCCAACTACAGAAGTGAAATTCAGGTAGTCCTCTTCTAGTGAGTGCCTTGTTTAGTGACTAATTGTAATGGTGGTGAAAAAATCTTTGCTGGTCTGTAAAGCAAAGGATAACTGAAGTAAGATCGTAAGCAAAAGTCATTGTTTCATTTAGCAACCACTTTGTTTAACAGCTGAGTTGCTGGTTCCAATTGTGCTCGCTAAACAAGAATTACCTTTATTTTCTCATACCATTTAGGAAGGATGAGATCCCATCTATCAATTACTCCCAATAGATGAGATCTATAAAGAGTGAAATGCTTCTTCTGGTAGCGTATTCAGAGCACTTAATGCTACTCTGTACCGCAAAGTGGCATCACATATATATTCAGACACATTTTGTATTATGCTTTGTGGAGCAACATCAGGATATTTGGGCAACAACTTGTTCAAATTGAAACTGCCTCTCCTGGGTGATCCTCCAGAGAGGACCTGTTGCAGGAATGCTTTCCTTAGAAAGTACGGGCCTTACTGACCATGTGACAGGCCTTCTCAGTGGTGGCCCCCATATTAGAAATACTTTCTCTCAGAGGTACAGATGTTTCTGGACTTCCTGGCATTTTGTAAACAAGTCAAAGTAATTTAGTTTCAGTACATGTTCAGCAATTAGATTAGATTAGATTAGATTAAAGATTTGCATATGTTTTTGGATTATATTCTTTAAATTGTTTATATTAAATTTGCATTTTTGCTTTGTCTTTATTGTATCCTGCCCAGAGAATCAGGACTGGCCCAAATGATAAATATTGTAAAATGAATCACATTTTTTTTTTTCCAAACGAACACAGGAAATAAAAGCAGGCACAGAAATCCCTTTTTCCTGCTTGCAATTTGATCAGTTTTTATTGGCAGCATTAGCCTTCTGGGTGATAAATCCAAAATTCCTCTCCTCCCCACTGCCCCAGGTCATTTTAAGTGAGGGCTGAGCTTTCGAGATATCCTATCGTTTAGGTTATTGTGATCCTTGTTACTGCAATAAGAAATGGAAAGTAAGAGGGTCTCTTCCTTCTAGCAATCTCATTTGGTATATGAAATTACAAGTTACTGCATACACTACTTTGTCATTTTGGTCATGAACAAATTTATTTCAAGGCAGGTACGTATTTGTTTCAGCAGAATCCCAGCAAAACGGCTGATCGTCTCTAGGAAATGAGCCCTGCAAAATTCAGTGAAGGCCAGCTCAGAGTAACATGCAAAAGGCTGCAATAATCTTGGGCTCATATACCAGGAAGTAAGCTCTGGTGAATTTAATGGGGCTTCCCAGGCATCGTATGTGCCAATCCCCTCCCCTAATTTATTTGGATAATAGAGCTATTTTTCAAGATTGGAAATGGGACTGATTTTGTTTGCAACTGAGAAGCAGGATGTTAATATCTATGGAGATTCTCAGTCATCCAGGTCATGGTTGTCCCAAAGGTGCTTTTTCAAGAGGCAACTGAACGTTCTTGTTTTTCTTTGAAGACCATTCACTTCTCATCCAAGAAGCTTGTTCAGCTCTGACTAGATGGTGGGGAATGGAAGGATTTATACTCCTTGGAGACAGCTGGTCATTTGCATTCTTTTTTGACCAGCTGTCTGCAAGGAGTATAAATCCTTCCACTCCCTGCCATCCAGGCAGAGCTGAAGAAGCTTCTTGGATGAGAAGCGAAATGTCCTCAAAGCAAAACAAGAAAGTCCAGTTGCCTCTTGAAAAAAGCATCTTTGGGACAGGATATTAATAGTTGTCTAGCACGTCGTTTTGATCTTGGACATCAGGCCCTGTTTTCCTTTCTTTTTCAGAAATAGTTCAAAATAGTTCAAAGTCTACCTGTGGGAGAGCCGCGCGGCATATAAATTTAATAAATAAAAAAAATTAAAATTAATCCTCATTCTGGAGTCCCCCCCCAAATTACCTGCCCATGGTGATAGAATGGCTTGCTCATACAACACCTTAAAGCTAAGTGCAGGTTAGCAAAACATGTTTTATGTAACATGCAATTCCCAAACAGGAAAACAAAACAATGGCTCAACGTGACAGCATGGATCATACCACGTAACTAAGACAGTTGCTGGGCTTTGCCACAAAATGGTGCAATTACAATTGGCCCAGCCCCATTTTACTGTCATCTGGTGTAGTTCAGGGGTCTGCAACCTTAAATTCTCAAAGAGCCATTTGGACCCGTTTCCCACAGAAAAGAAAACACCAGGAGCCACAAAACCTGGGTGGGTGTGGCCAACTCGATGTCACTCACTTCCACCGGTCACATGACCACCACCCCCAGCCACGCCTACCCAGCCGGTCATTAGGGCAGAGAACCAGTTGTTAAAAAACACAGGGAACCACAAAAATTATTTATATGCTGCCCTTCTCCCATAGGACTCGGAGCGGCTCACAACAATAAACAACCCGACAATAGATAAAGATTAAATAATATTAAAAACCAATTTAAAATCCCCAAATCCCCAAGTTAAAATCCACGGCAGATCAGGGAAGTTGCTGAAAGAGCCATGTCTTTAGGTTGGCGCGGAAGGTGCGGAGGTCGGGGGCCGTCCGGAGCCCGGTAGGCAAGCCATTCCAGAGGGTCGGTGCGACCACAGAGAATGCTCTCATCCTGGGGACTGCCAGCCGACACTGTCTGGCCGAGGGGACCCGGAGGAGGGCAGCCCTATGTGAGCGCACTGGGCGGTGGGAGGCCGGTAGGAAGTGATCCTGCAAATACCCCGGGCCCATGCCATGAAGGGCTTTATTATAGGTGAGTACCAGCACCTTGGTACTCACCTATAAATCCTTTTGACATATCTCTCTCTCCCCTCCCTCCCTCCTTCTCTCCCCCCCTCTCTCCCTCTCTCTCTCTGTATCTCTCTATGTCTCTCTCTCTCCCCCTCTCTCTGTATCTCTCTGTCTGGCTGGTTCTCCATCCCCTGCCATTGCCCTTACCTTCTCAGGCCAGGTGAGGAGTGACGGGGAGGGGAGGGGAGGGCGAGGGGCAGGGCCAGCCAGTGTTGGGATCACTTGACAGGGTGCCACAGCAGAGGGCCCAAAGAGCCACATGTGGCTCCGGAGCCATAGGTTGCTGACCCCTGGTGTAGTTTATGAACCAGCAAGAGTAAGTCTTCCTGGGCCTTCTAAATTTACAGCAAGAATCATGGCCAAAGTGCAGTCTGCATGTATAAATCTACAGATACATATGCTTGATGGCGAGATAGAAATTCCAGGTCCATGGCTAATTTTCCTTGTCCCTCTAAACATTCTTGGCAACTGTGCATTCTTGGCAGACACTATGGGGATAGTTATGCTCCTCTCTCTCCCCCCCACCTCCGCCAAGACTTTGCAGAAAGACCACAAGGGAAGAGGCCCCACGCAGCAGCGGAGATCACGTGACTCCTCTCCCATGGGGCCAGGGGACTGCTTCCCAGAAATCCAACAAGCAGCCTGATTTATTGGAGGCTGAAACAAGCAAGGAGAGGATCCAGGCTGCTGGGCTTAACCCTTCAGAAGCTAGAGGGAGAAGGTCAAAGGCATGTTAAGCGGGCATTTGGCCACTGGGTGGCTTGGGCATCTGCACAGCTACAAAAAGATAGATCCTCCTCACCCAGAGACAGAGCTTTGCTTTGTTAGCGTTTGGGTGGGAGCCTGTGGTGCCCGCATCCATAGCTCATTGACCCTGGCCAGGAAGTTTGATATCTAATCAGCTCAATAGTTTAGTTGATTGTGGTGTCCTTTGTAAACCTGTCTGACCTGTTGGATTGCAAGATGAAGTTGGGAGAAATAGAGGAGCGTATGTATCATCAAAGGGAGGGATGAAATTTCATTTCGTTCTGAAATTACATTTCATTCTCTTTTTAACAGTAGCTGACTGCCCAGCTTCTGCATCTGGTAGCTAAGGGGCAGCTGCCAGTGTCTTCTGGCAGTTTCTGCACAGAGATTCTTTTCCTGGCATTCTGATTGTAAGATGGAGAGTGATTGTTTTTTTCTGACCCAAACAAAGGCTGTATATCCCCTTTGGGTAGCACAAGACAATCCTTTGCTCTGAAAAAAATTACCGTAATTCATTGTTCACTTCATTTAAAATTAAATGTAAGTAATAATACTTTCCAGCCATTTATTTAACCATTCTGTCCTCCTGTTGCATTAAAAATTAGAGTTTGATAATCATTCTGGAGGTGCTGAGGATTTTCTTCTCTTCCTTCCTTCTTCCCTCCCTCCCTCCTTCTCTCTCTCTCTCTCTCTCTCTTTATTTCTTCTTCAATGTATTAATGATATTTAGAGACCCTCATCTCCCTTATAGAGTGTTTTCAGTGACATCATAGCTCCAGTGACTCACTTCTTACTTAAATTCTGTTACAGAATCACCCAGCTGCGGGTTTTTTGACCTCAAAACTACTGTCCACCCTAGGTGCAAGCATCAGTTCATGGGTGGACTATCAGAAAGCTCTATGTTTGCTGGAACAGGGGTTGTCAAAAAAGTCAAAGTGGTGACTCTGCCCTCATAATTGAGACCCTGTTCCTTTTTTAATGTACATCATAGTTGCCATCTTGACTTTTTTACCTTGCCCCTGACTTTTAATTAACCACAATTCTCAGTCTAGTTGGCTATATTCTAAAAAAAAAATAAATCTTAAGATCAGTTAAAGCATTTAGCGTTCAGATCCCATATTGAGCTGGGTTAGGTTTAACATTTGGGGTAACAGACCATGATGTGTGTCATTCCATTTGCTTAGGTTGGTTCAGTATTTTTCTGAATCCAGAAAACAGATTATATAGGAAGTATATAATATATATATAACTTCCTATATTCCTGTTTTCTGGATTCAGAAAAATACTGAACCAACCTAAGCAAGTGGAATGACTCATACTGTCTATGTATGTATGTACCGGTATGTTGTATTGCCCATTGTAGGAACAGAGATGTTAGTCTGGGATAGCCAAAAATTAGGAGACTGATAGTGCCCTTTTAGAGGAACAGCTTTTGTTTTAACAAAATACATTGGCCTGAAAAGGTGCTACCGACTCCTTCAGATTTTAGGAAGTTGTGTAAACTTTTAATTTGCAAAAAATGAGCCTGGAGAAAGATAATCTCTGTTGGGTTACATTGCCTGTAATTACAAACATTTGCTTCTGTGCCTTGGTTAGTTGATAATCTTGGTTGGGTTCCAGTACTTTATGTGGAAGCTCCACATCAAGGCTTTGGCATTTCAGTTAAAGCTGCTGGGAGAAGCTGCTCTTCCTGGAACCTGAATTAACATTCTTGGTCAGAGCTGGGCAAATCGTGATTTAAGCTTTGAAAGCAAATAATCTACATGCCAATAGTCCAGATTTCTTCTAGGATTTCCCAGTTAAGTTATGGATGTCTAGCACATGCTTTTCTAGAACTTCTACTTTCAACAGCTCCGCCGTAGCCAGGGAACCTGAAAGTTCTAATATGGCAACATCTGAAGGACCACAAGTGATGCTAAATAAATTTGGATGCAAATAAATCATGGGGAGCTTTAAGTTCCTTTTATCCTGGCATCTTCTTCCTAAAAGTCCCAAATCCATATTAATGTTGCCTCTCTTTCTCCTTGTTCCCTTGCTATCCCATAGTGTGTTTTGGGACCTATACTGTGCAGCACCTGATCGGCGAGAGACCTGCGAACACTCAAGTGAGGCCAAAGCTTTCCACGATTATGTGAGTACAATGTGCGAGGCTGATGCCGATCGTGTGTACGGTCATTCAGATGCTGTGTGATTTGGACTTCTGGGCCTCCTGGATAAGACCAAAGTGAATGTAGTGAAAGAGAGGTGAAAGCAATTTGAAGAGAGTTGAAAGCAATTCACTTGGGATATTCAAGGTGACTGGCTGAAACAACCCATAAAGGAATTCTATTTCAGCCATATTTTGAACGCAAGGGTCTTTGCTCCAACCTGATTGTCGTGATAACAAACTGCAGACATCCTGTCAATCCCAACATGGATGATGTAGGAGAAGTATCAGGGGACACATGATAGCAGTGTTCCAATATTTGAGGGGCTGCCACAGAGAGGGGGGGTTTCAACCTATTTTCCAAAGCACCTGAAGGCCAGACAAGGAACAATGGATGGAAACTGAATAAGGAGAGATTTGACCTGGAAATAAGGTGAAATTTTCTGACAGTGAGAGCAATCAACCAATGGAACAGCTTGCCTTCGCAAGTTGTGGGAGCTTCATCACTGGAAGCTTTTGAGAAGAGACTGAACTGCCATCTGCCAGAAATGGTGTAGGGTCTCCTGATTGGGCAGAGGGTTGGACTAGATGACCTACAAAGTCCCTTCCAACTCTGTTAATCTCTTAAAACAGTATCATCAAACACCAGTCAATCTTTGATGACCACTAAACATTTCAAGGTGGTTTGCATGCATATTCTTTTGTTCTACATTCACTTGGAGTAAATAATAGTGAGTCACACCTGAGGGTAGAAATGCCCATCATGATGGTGACTGATCAGGATAGGGCAATGAATGAGAGCTACCCAAATGCTTCTCTACCATTTAAACAAAACCTGCCCTGGTTCTAGAAGAAGTAGCATTCCAGCACTTTTTCTCATAGTATCTGATTAGATGCCAGTATTTCATAAGCAATACAAATGAAAACCTCCAGACGCTTTTATATAATCACTAGCAACTTGTATTTAGAGAACTAGAATGCCTCTGAGCATACAGAATCCATAATTGTGTAAATAGCAGCCAATAGATTTCTGTTTCCCTCAAATGGAGGTATCACATAGGTAGAAAATGCATGGCACCTGTTCTTAAATCTACCTATAAATCTTTTCTAGAGATTCCTGGATTAATCAGCCCATGGTTTTCAGCCACTTGTAGCAGGTCTTAGCAAAAGCAGTTTTTGAAACTCTTTAAGTCAGGGTTTCCCAACCTTGGCACCTTTAAGACACGTAGACTTCAATTCCCAGAATTCCCAACTCAGATATGATTGCCTGGGGAATTCTGAGAGTTGAAATCCACGTATCTTAAAGTTGCCAAAATTGGGAAACCCTGTGTTAAGATAAAGGAGTAATTCTACTTTGGCAGGTTGATTAGCAGTTATTCAATGTAGTCAATATTAGAATTAATAAAAAATTCATATTCAGAGGTAGTGTGTGTGCGTGCGAGTGCATGCATGTGCGAGCACACATGCCCTCGAGTCAATCTTGACTTCTGGCAACTTCCTGGACAAATTTTTGCAGTTTTCTTGGCAAGATTTCAAAAATGATTTGCCATTGCCTTCTTCTTAGGACTGAGAAAGTCTACATCTAAATACCAATTATTAAGAAATAACTAATAGAGGTAGGCTGTCCCATTGTGCCCTGTTCATGGGCCAGCTGGTGTATGAATGGCTGTTATTCATTATGTCAAACTGAACCTCCATGTTCCTAAATAGTATATAGTTAAATACGATGTGTCTGTGTGGTTTTTGAATGTTTCTGCCTCCTTTTTGGAAAGCTTTTAAATCATGAGTGTCCAGCCTTTTGGCTTGTCTGAGCTACACTGAGTGAAAAGGAGTTGTTTTGAGTCACATGTAAAATATATAATATGGTTAATGTACACAAATAACAAACTTCCTTCAGTTTTTATCTTTTGGGGCTGCATTACTAGCTGTCCACTGCATGTGGCCCATGGGCTGTGGGTTGGACACACCTGTTTTAAATTGTAGTCTAAAAAGTACTTTGATTTTTACAGATAAGATTTAAGTCAAGGGAAGGACTGACTGCTGTAGTACCAGTATGAGAGTCGTTTCCTCTCTATCAAGAGTGAAATGCAGTTATTTCATTGTCGATGTTCAGCTCTTCTACAATAGTCTGTATCTGAGGAAGAAAAAAGAACCGAAGAGCCTCTAATTAGAAGCTAAGCTAAGCAGGCATTATTAAATACGTTATTAAACACAGGTTTAGCCCCCAAGACTTAGAAGATAAACAGACACTAGTAAAACCAAAGAATTGAACAAGATTCAATTATTTATTTATTTTAATCCATAATTGGATTCATTAAGGTATAAGGTTTTGATTCAGTTAAGAAGAAATGAGAAACGAAAATGCTTTTGTTTAAATAAAAATGCACCAAAATATGCTTGGATTCAAATTCGGTCTAATTGTCTATAAAATTGGGGGCGGGGGGGGGAAGAAAGAGAGAGAGAGAGGAAGGGAGAGAAAGAGAGAGGGGGGAGTGAGGGAGGAAGGGTAAAAGAAAAATTACATTTTAATTTTCTAGACTCAAACCCTTCTTCTGTTATTCCTTCTTCTCTCTCTCTCTCTCTGTGCCCCCCTCCCATTGCTCCCCTGGAGAATAGGCTTTGGATCCTTTGTGAGCGAGAAATTGCCTAAGAGGAGTCATGCGGCGTTTGCTTCTGCTGTTTTCCTTGCTAGGTGGCCACGCGGTGCTGTACCATACATCCAGCTCTCCTCCCTGCCTGTTTCCATGGGAACCGCATTCTTTTTGGACCACCTTTCTTCTGACACATGCTGAGGCCAGCAGCCCTTGGCCTTGCCCACCTCTCCCTCTGCCCACAGGCCAGCACGGGTTAATCATCCTAGATGTTGCCCACAAACTGGCCCTGTGCCACTTACATCAATATTTCAGGGAGTGCTGCAGGAGCTCTCTGCATAGCAAATGATTAATGTTCAGTGATGGAAATCCCCCCCCCACCCCATCCTCAACAACCTGCATGGCCGTAGAGTACAATGGGTGGCTGAGTTCCCCGGCTCATCCATCCAGCCTGGCCATATACAGGTAGTCCTTGACTTACAATAATTCGTTTAGCGACTGTTCAAACTCACAATGGCATTGGAAAAAAGTAACTTATGACCATTTTTCACACTTAACGACCATTGCAGCATCCCATGGTCACGTGATCAAAATTCAAATGCTTGGCAGCTGACTCATATTTATGACGGTTGCAGTCTCCCGGGGGTCATGTGATCACCATTTGCAACTTTCTGACAAGCAAAGACAATGGGGAAGCCAGATTCATTTAACAACTCTGTTACTAACTTAACAACTGCAGTGATTCGCTTAACAATTGTGGCAAGAAAGGTGGTAAAATGGAGCAAAATTCACTTAACAACTATCTCAGCATCAAAAATTTTGGGCTCAATTGTGGTCATAGGTCAAGGACTACCTGTATTAATCTGGGGAAAAGGTAGCAGTATACATTAAGTATAATATAAAGGATACGATGCTGGATGACAAATAGGAAAAGCCAGGTTTTAAATCTGCCCTGTCCTGGAAGTTAACTGGGAGGCTGAACAGGCACAAACAGCCCCATCTACATTGGTTTTTGGGGTTCACAAGGAAGGCAGATCCATAGGTGCCTTGCCTGAACAAAGTGGGGTATAAATCTAATGAATGATTATTCTTGCTGCTAGCCAAGCCAAATCCGATCTCCTTCCTGCACAATCAATATGATGTTCAAGTGGTTCCAAAAATTCCTTGGAATGTGAAATAATTCTCAGTTTTTATATTCATAGAGATTGATTCTGAAAGGACCACGAAAGCCTTTTTATGTAATCTTACAAGATTTGGAGGAAGCCTCACAATATTCTGGCCATTTTATGTTTTAAGCACACATGCTTAAAACACATTCAAGCACTTACAGTGTCACCTAAATATCAGAAAACGTTCTCCATTTCTGAATTACCCTGCTTCCCCAAAAATAAGACATCCTCTGATAAGAAGCCCAATCGGGCTTTTGAGCGCATGCACTAAAATAAGCTTCCCCCCGAAAATAAGCCCTCCCTGAAAATATTTTAAACAGAGAGTTGAAAATCAGGTAAGATGGCAAGAGGAGCCCGATCTTGCTCCATGCACCCCAAAATAATAAGACCTCCCTGAAAATAAGGCCAAGCACTTATTTTGGGGTTCAAAAAACTATAAGACAGGGTCTTATTTTGGGGGAAACACGGTAGTAGACGTAGACCAATTATTGTGGTTGATACCTCTCTGTGGCATAACATGATTTATGAACTGAAATCATTTGATATATTCAGCAACTGCGATTAAGTAAATCGTGGCTTCATGTAAAACCATTTAGGGTCAGCAAAGCAAGCTCATCGTGTATGTGTAGCCAAATAGCCTATATGTCCATCTGCCTCTGAATAACCTCGGTTGAGCTGAACTAAAATCTTGATAAGAGAGAGAGATTTATGTTGTATTTTTTCTGCTGGACTTCCAGATTGATTATTTATCTGATTACTGCCAGCATGAATGTCTGTGGAGGAGAGGGGTCAAAAAAGTCAAGGTGGCACCCACAACCATGCAGTCAAAGCCCCGCTCTTTATACATGCAGGTAAAAAACTCTATACATGCAGGTAAATGCAGCGGGGTTTTGTTTGCACAGTTGTGGCCGCCATCTTGACTTTTCGACACCTCTTTTCCAGTGGATATGCTGGTTGACAGCTTATCTTTTCAGAAAGTTATTTATTTATTTATTTATTAGTTTGATTTATATGCCGCCCTTCTCCGGAGACTCAGGGCGGCATATAAATCAAACTAATGGATCCGGAGGCTCGTTTTGATGGGGACAAATATGCGATACGATATTTTTCTACTCTGTTCTCTCGTGTCTGCTTCGATGTTAATGTATGGCCTGAATTCCTCACTTTTGAGCCTCAGTCGATGTTGGGGAAAGTGGGTGTTTACTGACTGAGTTTATCCCCCAGAGCATGCAATTCGGGGATTTACTAATATCAGCTTTCAAGGCAGTCATTTTGTGTGGCTGCCTACGAGGCCTTTCCAGGCTCAGAAAGATGACGGACTCCTGAAATTCCAGGAGTTCATTCTGTCCACGAAGGGGAGATTATAAAAGGATTAAACCTTTGGGAGGGGAAGAACTCTTTAAATCAATGACACGGAGCTCCACTGTACGAAATTCCTCCAGGGAGACTTGTTCTCCGTTTGCCTGCCTTCTCCAGTTTGGCCTATTTGGGGCTTTTCCAGCTAACAAGACCATGTTGGCTGGCATCGGGTGGAGGAGGGAGTTTGTAGTCCCAACGTGTCTGAAGGGCACCAGGTTGCAGATGTCAGTTTTCTGTTGCCCAAGTCCATATTCCCTGCCAAAGATTGTGCCTGTCCTTTCCTTTTTTTTCCTTTCCTCATATAAGGGATAGGTTGTACAGCTGTGGGGCAGGGAAGGCAGCCAAGCGCTATTTTGAACTCTGACTTGGTTTTTCCTTGTTCTCTAAGCCAATCCCAACCTCCCCAGCTTGGAGGAAGCACTAAATTATTTGGAAATGGCAGCGGGGAGCAAAAAATCCCGGGGCCGTCTTCTCTGCCTGCCTTTCGAAGCAACAGCAGCAGTGTTGAATATTGTGTTCTAGCTGGCCTCCTGTGGAGGGTGGGGTGGGGTGGGGGGGGGGCTGCAGTCCTTCACCACCCCCCTCTAAATTAAAACCACTTGGAGTGGAGACAATGCGTGAGGGGCCAGGCTGGAAAAAAAAAAAAGGCAGAAAATTCCTGCCGTCTTAACAGCTCCCCCTGGAGCCAAGTTGGCTCCCAATGAATGCCTGCCTTGAATCAGAAAATGTAGCTCGTTCGTTCGTTCGCTCACTCACTCCACAGCGCACAAATCTCAGCTCTGGCTGCTGTGGCTCAGAAAGTCCTGCAAAACAACTTTTTTCTACTCATTTCTAAAGATCTAAGTGCCAGGGCCCACTGTAGCAACATTGCCAAAAAGGCATTAAGGGTTGTTAACCGAATCTTGCGTAGCTTCTTCTCTGGTAATATTGTACTACTAACTAGAGCATACAAAACATTTGCTAGACCAATTCTCGAATACAGCTCATCTGTCTGGAACCTGCACTGCATATCGGACATTAATACAACTGAGCGAGTCCAGAGATATTTCACGAGAAGAGTCCTCCATTCCTCTACCCGCAATAAAATACCTTATGCCACCAGACTTGAAATCTTGGGCTTAGACAACTTAGAACTACGCCGACTTCATAGGTATGACCTAAGCGTAGTACATAAAATTATCTGCCACAACATCCTACCTGTCAATGACTACTTAAGCTTCAACCACAACAATACACGAGCAAATAATAGATACAAACTCAAGGTAAACCGCTCCAAACTCGATTGCAGAAAATAGGACTTCAGCAACAGAGTGGTCAATGCCTGGAATGCACTACCTGACTCTCTGGTTTCTTCCCTAAACCCCCAAAACTTTAACCTTAAACTGTCTACTGTTGATCTCACCCCATTCCTAAGAGGTCTGTAAGAGGCGTGCATAAGTGCACCAGCATGCCTACCGTCCCTGTCCTAATGTTCCTTTTTACTCTTACTCTTTTCATATATTAAAATTATGTTTATACTTCTACCTGTTATCTTATATATGCTTGACAAATAAATAAATAAATAAACTTCAAGCTCCACTATTTGCAGATCTTTTCTCTGCCGCCCAAGACTCAGCCCTGCTTGAGTGGCTGGTTGTGCTGGCCCACAATGCGCTGGGCAGGTAAAATAATGGAGTCCGTCAGTTTGACCTCTTCCCCTCTCTCCACAGAGCTCCGCAGCTACGACCAGTCCTGTGATGGCCAACCTGCCTCCCAGTGATGCCATCCCCAGCGGGCCTATGTTGTCGGGCTTTTTTCAGGTGGGAATAGACTGAGGTTGGGAATGAGGTGCTGCTGAACCCTAAACATCCTGCAGAACTTGCCTTCATCTTGGTAGAGCCTCCATGTTCGAAGGCAGTCTACCTTTGAAACTGTCAGAAACTTGGCAGGGAAGGTCTGCCTTATAAGTAATCCTTGACTTAACAACCATTCATTCAGTGACCACTCACAGTTATAATGGCACTGAAAAAAGTGACTTGCAACCAGTCCTTGGTGCTGTGACAACTTACGATTGTCATAGCACCACCACCTGATCATGTGATCAGAATTTGGACACTTGACAACTGGCATATATTTACAGCATTTGAAGCATCCCAGGATCATGTGATCACCCTTTGCTTCTGACAAACGAACTTAGTGGGGGAAGCTGAATGCGTTTTACCACAGATGTGCTTAATGATTCACTTAATAACAGCAGTAATTCATTTAACAACTATTGCAAAAAAAGGCCATAAAATCAGGCATGCATCACTTAACAACTGCCTTGCTTGGCGTTAGAACAGGCCTGTCAAATTGACGACCTCCAGGCCGGCTGCATCACGCACAGGCCACGCCCACCCCGGCTCCGCAAAGGCAAAAAATGTCGCGATACATCACAATACGTCATGTGACGTGATCGAGTTTGACACCCGTGCATTAGAAAGTCTGGTCCCACTTGTCGTAAGTCAAGGACTACCTACACTAAAAATGACATACTGCATGAGATGAACTCTGTGTAATTAGGGCTTTCTTGTCCCTCTAAATAGAGGCAGATATAAGTACCAATGGAAGAGAATATTTGTAGTTCAGAATATTTGAACTGTGGTGATCTGGTAGGTTTCAGTTGAGAGACAGAAGAGGAAGACTTGTGTTTCAACATACAGTTCCTCTTGCATCTTGTAACAGAAGCTCATTTGCTAATGGATCCCCATACCATTAGGGCTGTGTTTCTCAACTTCGGTGATTTTAAGATATGTGGACTTCAACTCCCAGAATTCCACAGCCAACCATGCTAGCTGGTGAATTCTGGGAGTTGAAGTCCACACATCTTTAAGAAGCTGAGGTTGAGAAAAACTGCATTAGGGAATAATCCCTAATGCTTTTTCCTTTCTTGTGGCTCCAGGCTTCAGCATGCATCCCTGTTGCTTGAATTTATGCAAAATTACTGTGGAACAGAAGAAGTCTTGAACAATAAGCCACAGCTATCTCCCCATAATTGCATTTCTGTTTCTTCCCTAAGGGACCACCTGGCTCCCAGCCATCCCTACATGCTCAAGCACCCATGCACAATCCCAATGCGGCAATGATGGGACCCCATAATCAGGTAAGACCAGAGAAAGAGGCAGCCTTTCGTAATTGGCATTAGCCCAGCTGTGCTCTGCTATCTGACCTCATTCTTTCCCCAAATCTTAAACCAATTGTATCTTTTGTTTTACACATTTTGGTACCAACACATCGTGTATTTTGGAACGTGTACAACAAACTATTGTAATCCATTACTCCATACCAAGCAACTAAATTGTGGTCTATTCACAAGGAAGTCCTACTGAATTGTTGGGGATTTCCTTCAAGAAAATACATTGTTGTTTTACATTAGCATCAGGAGTGAAATCCAGCAGGTTCTGACAGGTTCTGGAGAACCGGTAGCAGAAATTTTGAGCAGTTCAGAGAACTGGCAAATACCACCTCTGGCTGGCCCCAGAGTGGGGTGGGAATGGAGATTTTGCAATATCCTTCCCCAAGGAGTGGGGAGGGAATGGAGATTTTCCAGTATCCTTCCCCTGCCAAGCCCACCAAGCCACGCCCACAGAACCAGTAGTTTTAAAAAAATGGATTTCACCACTGATTAGCATGCTCTGTGAACCCAGGCATTGTATGTTATATGGTTTAGCTGTTTGTAGAAATTCATCTAGTAGTTTAGTTTTATGTGCAGATCCAGCCACAGAGCTGTTGCCTGGATTTCAATTATCTATGAATAGAGAATTGTTACCTTTTAGAATTATATGAGAATCATCTTGCATTGGAATATCGTTTCCAGGTTCTGTTCCCACTGGGTAATCCATTCCATCTCCATCTTCCCCAAGTTCCGAATTACGACGGTACTGAATGAACGATGGTTACAACTGGTTCTTGGAGTTCTGGTTGTCCCAGCACACACCCCATGGTCATGTCATCATGATCTGGGTGCTTAGCAACCTGTTCGCACTGGTTGCCAAGCACCCCACAATCATGGCATCAACATTTGTAACCATTCCTGCTGGCTTCACCAGAAAGTCAATGGGGAAGCTGGCAAGGAATGTCAGAAGGCTGTGGGTTGAGTCTTCCCCAATTCCTCTCTGCTTATGTTTCACCAGCCACTTACACCCCCCCCACCTGCCCTTCCCCAACTCGGATAGCACCTTTTCTACAGCCCCTTGCAACTTCATACACTCTCCCTGATCCATGCAATGCCTCTTGTGCATCCCCTCGTATCTTCCCTGTGCACTCTACCTGTGCAGCACCTCTTGCATACCCTTGCCAACTCATGAGACACTCCCTCCCCAACCTGTGTAGTGCTTCTTGTGCATCTTCCCCACACCCACTGTGCCTCTTGTGCATCCCCTCAGTCCTTTCCACATCTGCCAGCAGCCATTTACCTAACTGCTGGCCTGGAATTTGCAAGTTCCTGCTGACTTTCCCACTGATTTCGATAGTGGGAAGCCGGCATGAAGCTGCCTTGCCTAACAACCACGGAAATTCAGTTGTCAACAATAATGGGACTGCAGGGATTGCCATTGCTAAGTGGCCATCATATGTTAAGGATTGTACTTTTGAAATTGTAATAATCTTGCATAATTGCCATGATTCCTTGCTTGAAACCTCATGAGATTTTTGAGGTAGGAGGGCAGAGATTGCGCCAAATATCATAAATTTCACGTAATGCAAAATCTTGCAAGATTGGTAAAAAATTTCCCATTTTGGCCATTTGGGATTTGAAGTGATTTGAGCCTTTGAGTTATTGTTGACACCTGGAGACTGCTTGGACTAGTTCCTATTGGTATTATTTTCTTGGCAAGATGTTAGAATTGATTTGCTATTGCCTTCTTCCTAGGGCTGAACAGAATGACTGGTCCAAGGTCACTCAGGTGGCTTTGTGCCTAAGGTGGAACTGGAACTCCCGGTCTCCCAGTTTCTAGTGCAGTGCCTTAACCCTTAATCAAACTAGCTCTTCTAGAGATTCTTTGTTGTAGCTCCTACATCAAATTCATTTTTACTTAATTTTGGACCCTTCTGATAATACCATTTGGATGGGTTACATGTGGATATTGCACATATGTGGTGTTTGCAATTGTTGCATTCCCAATTCTGACTGGTTTTCAAAAGCTGCTCAGTCACCTGGTAGAAAAGGTGGGAAGTGATAAGAGAAGTTGGGAAGTGATAATTAAAAAATAAATGAAAAAGCTATTGATGACAACAAAGTGGTGTATATAAGGGAAAGGTTGAAAACTTTCTGTTATACCAAGAGCCTTGGTAGTACAGTGGTCTAAAGCACCCTGTTATTAAGACCAGCTGCCTGCAATTACTGCAGGTTCGAATCTCGCCAGGCTCAAGGTTGACTCAGCCTTCCATCCTTTCTAAGGTAGGTGAAATGAGGACCCAGTTTGTGGGGGCAATAAGCTGACTTTGTATAAATATACAAAAGGATGAAGGCTATTGCTTAGCGCATTGTAAGCCGCCCTGAGTCTCCGGAGAAGGGCGGCATATAAATCAAATTAAAAAAACAAAAACAACAACAACAACCCAAAAAAATGCTGCCCAACAGCAACTTGCGTAAGACGAGATAACATCACTCTCCTAACGATACCAGTGGGACCACCCCAGCTGAAAGAGACAGCTTCAGGGTATCTCTGAAGTTGTCATGTTGAACTTAGCAAGGCAGGAATTGGGATGGCAGGGAACCAAGCAGAACTATAAAGGGACTTGTAATAGATAAACCAGAGAAAAAGGTGGCTGGCTGCCAGTCTTGCCAGGTTGCCATTTGTCTCATTTAGATCACTGTGACTGCAATAAATTAGTATATTCAAGCCAAGTTCTAGATAGCTCATGAGTGCACAGAGAGAATTACTGCAGGCATCTGAAGGCAAGTTTAACCCATGTTCATGGTATTAGAAAACTAAAATGGGTATCAGCCATTAATAGTTCCATCGCTTAGTCCTCAGTGCACATCTTTTCAGGAAACTGGTCAGCGTGTGTAGTCCAGTGTTACTGAACTACAACTCCCAGCATCCCTCATGGTACAAGTTCAGATTCCTGGAAATGGTTCAGCTTATATCGGGAGGGCCAGAAATTTTTTCCACCAAAAATCCAGTTGAAATTGAGAGGAACTTAATTATTTACTGAAAATGTCCAAAATTGGAGAAAAGCCATAGAGTATAGGCTTTGTGTGCAAGATGACCTGCCTTTACCTCTGGCATTCCCAGATTATCTGGGAAAGCATTTGGAAGCCTGCAGACAGGTTACCAGTCATTAGATTTAGTGATAAGAAGCTTAGGATGTGCTGTATCTCATTAACTTGCTTGGTGCCATTTTACTGATTCTCATGAAGATACCCAATCCAGTTTGCATTGTTTGGGGTTGACCTTTCCCAAAGCATGGATATGTGTGAGTCCTTCTGCAATTTACTACGTTTTGGAGCTGTTCACCCGTCTTTTATTCATCTGCAGCCATTCATGCCTTCACGCTTCCCTGGTGGGCTCCGTCCTTCCGTTCGAATGCCAAGCCAGGTAAGTTCTTCCATGGACTATTTTTTGGTAATTCAGCTCTCCCTTTTCACCAACAAAAATCCAGATCTGGTATCCTGTCATATTCTCTAGCATTTGTATAGCTTTTCCATTACTTGCTGATAGTAGTTAGGAAATTGCCAGGTTGATCATTTTCATTAGAAGATTATCTTCATTTCCTCTTTCTTCCAAAAATGATTTAATTTCCAGGACCTCCTAACATCTAGCATTCAATTACCTCTGCTTTCCACCTCATACTTCCTCTGACTGCCCATCTGGCCATCTGTGATGCTATGGCATAGCAATGCCCCCAAAGCATCTTATGAATGAACCCTATGCTACGAAGCCTTAATAAATGGAATTTTGTTTTCTGCAAACTCTTTTCTGGATAATCCTAGTTATTCATTGGTATAACTGATGAAAAATTAGACCACATTTTAAAGATTCGACAGGGGATGTTAGTAAAGAGGGTTTAGACACTAGATAATTCTTTATTTGTTGGATAGAACAGGAACATCAGAAATGGTGTGTTTTCTTATATGGGCAAAATAATATTCTCTTCAATGAGGCTGACTTCCATGCACTTCAATCAGTGGTGGGATTCAGCCAGTTCGGGCGAACCGGTAGTTAAATTGATGACTGGCCCTGCCCCCTGTGGCCCGTTTTCGTTCCAAGGAGGCTTCAGGGAGGCCTAGGCCCAGAACGGGGTGCCGGGGATGCGGCATGCCCCCCTGCAGCCCGTTTTCACTCCCAGGAGGTTGCAGGGAGGCCTACTAGGCCCAAAATAGGGTGCGGGGGGGGTGCGTCCCCCACCCCATGGGCCATTTTTGCTCCCAGGGAGGTGCAGGAGGCCGAATGCTGCCTGTCATGCTCCCTGCCCATGCCCACCATGGCCACGCCCACCCAGCCAGTCATTAGGGCAGAGAACCGGTTGTCAAATTATTTGAATCCCACCACTGTCTTCAATATTCTGAGGATAGTGCTAAGAAAGAAAAGGAGGAGCAATGAGGGCCTGCCTTTCTCCACCCGAGGAATATTCTAGGCATCTGGTGGATAAAGTTGTTCGGATTCTTTTGCAGTTTGACAATTCTTCCTGAGGCGACAGAAGCATGGTTTTATATGTTTATCTGGGGGGGAACTTCAACCTGTAACTCTTGAAGCAGTAGATAGGGTCCTTGGGACTATAATCCTAAACAGCTGTTGAAAGATATCCAGAAGGTGATGTGTCCATAAAGTATATTTGCTTTGCTGAGAGAGTTGGTACCACCTGCCTAAAAGAAGATGGTAGTGGTCTCCTTCCTTGGGAAGCCTTCACTGGATTTGACAATCCTAGATAATTTTCATTCAATCTCCAACTTTCCCTTTTTAGGTAAGGTTACTGAGAAGGTTGTTGAACTGCAACTTTGGAGAGTCCTGGAGAAAATGGATTATCTAGATCAGGGGTCTCCAACCTTGGCAACTTTAAGACTTGTGGACTTCAACTCCCAGAATTCCTTAGCAAAGCTGGCTGAGGAATTCTGGGAGTTGAAGTCCACAAGTGTTAAAGTTGCCAAGGTTGGAGACCCCTGATCTAGATCCTTACCTTTTTTGTTTGAAACTCTGACATAATACTAAGGCAGCATTAGTTGTGGCTGTTGATGACTTCTAGCAGAGCTTAGAGGGAGGAATTTGATCTTCCTGGTTCTCGTTGACCTCTCAGCAGCTTTCAATATCAATCCTTCTGGTTTGCCTAGGACAGTGATGGCTAACCTTTTTGCTGTCGCGTGCCAAAAGCGGGGGGAGTGTGTGGGAGGGGAGCATGCGTGTGCCCACACCCATAATTCAATGCCCCCGCGCATGCACGCACGACCTCCCCCCGCTTTTGGCACGCAACACCAAAAAGGTTAGCAGTGGGCCCAGTAGGCCTGTTTTTTGCCCTCCCCAGGCTCCAGAGGCTTTCTTGGGTGGGAGGTGGGAGGGCAAAAACGGCCTTTCCCACCTCCCCGGAGGCTGGAAATGGCCCGTTTCCCGACTTCTGGTGGGAAGGCCTGAAAATCAGCTGATCGGTGCGCAGATACGCACTGAAGCTCAGCTAAGGCAACGCTCATGTGCCCACAGATATGGCTCCACGTGCCACCTGTGGCATGCGTGCCATAGGTTCGCCATCACGGGCCTAGGAGTATAGAAGTGGAGTGTGCTGTTGCATGGTTCTCCTTTCTTTGTCATTGAGTTCAATCAGTGTTGGTGGGGGAGAAAGTAGGTCAAAGTAGAGGTCCCTAATGTGGAGGACATCAAGACTGGATTCTCCTGCTCCTCCTGTTTAATATTTACACAAAAGAACTATGTCAAATCAACCCTCTGTTTGGAATCAGGTATCATCACTATACAGATAGTGCCCATTTTACATTTTGGACCTGGACCAACCAGATGATGTTCTGAAGGTCTTGATCCAGTGTCTGGAGACTGTGTGGATCTAGATCAGGGGTATTCAAACTCAAGGCCCAGGGGCGGGATACAGCCCATGGAGTGCTTAGTTCTGGCCTGCAGGGCCGCTCTGGAAACAGCGAAGGACCGGCCAAAGATGCATCTGCCAGTAAAAATGGCGCTTATGAGGGCCGTGAGCGGCCTCTGGAGCTTCGTTTTCACTGGCAGAGGATTGCAGGAGGCCGTTGCAGGTGAAAATGGAACTCAGGAGCCCGTTTTCGCCGGCAAAGCACTCGGGCCACCACAGGCACCCCCGACAAGAATGATGTTGAGCTGGCCATGCCTACCCCGGCCCCCCAAGGTCAAACACAACCCTGATGAGGTCCTCAATGAAATCAAGTTTGACACCCCTGATCTAGATGGGAAGAATCAAGTTCAGCTCTGACTACAGTAGACCCAGTAAGCTATAGGTATTTGACTGGTCAAGGCTGGATATGTTCCACCTTTAGTCTTGAATGGGGTTGTACTTCCCCCTTTGGGATCTTAGACTTGCAGCTCCTGCCTGAGGAGTAGACGGCTGTGACCTGACAGCCATCACACAAAGGTCTATCAATCAACTTACCTACATAATTCTTTGTCTCCCGTTCTCCCTTCTCTCCTCTCATATCTAGATTCCAAGATCTATGCTAGTTTCCTTCTATAATGTCTTCCCAAACTAACACCTTTCCACGTGCGTTGATAGCACCAGATAGAGGATGAGCCTGCTTATTGTTCTGAAAAGTCAAAGAAAAATCCAAAACAAAATTTCTATGACCAACACATGGCCTTAACAATAGGCGCAGGAAAGGTATTATTTGTTATCACAGTAGGATATATTAGTGAAAAAGGTTCTACAAATGACAACTTTTGAAGTTCTTTAGTGCTTTAAAGATCTCTAGATGATAAGTGAATGGAATGGTAGTCAATATATGAAAGAAGAATCAATGAATAAACCAACAAATGAATCAATGGAATAGTGAAAAGTAATGTCTCTATGTCTGTAACTTTGCAATGTTTTAATACATGAAACGGGGAAATAATCATTGAAATTAGCCCTGCCAATATGGGCACACTTCTTAAAACCATCACAAAAGGACTCCATGCTTTGTTTTTTTAACCAGATCCCGGCAGTCCTTTTTACCTTTTTATTGGAGTTAAACATACACCCATGAAGCTATCCCTTCAATTTTGGAAAAATGTGAAAGCCTTATAATACCAAGTCTAGATTGTACAGTAGATAGGTAAAATAGGTCTAACTTTGCAATTGCCTCTTGGGTGGCTGTTAAAGTTTGAGGTTTAGTATTTCCTTCTTGTTTTTCTGAAATTTGCTTTATCTTTGCTTCAATATTTTGAGTGCTGCAGTTAGCACTGAGTTGCTGGTGATGCACACTCAAATCCATGTGAATAACATCAGTTGCATCACAAGAATTGTAACCGTGAGTTTTCTTGCTGAAGCATGAATTTTGAATTTTTTCCCCTACAGGTGAAAGTTCCTGTGAAATGCCAAATTTAGTAGCAGTGTCTCTTTGAGTGATCGCCCAATTGTTCTGTTAATTCATCAATCTTTCTCATGTAAACTGTCACTTCATTTTTGATCACACAAATCACTCTTCTCGATTTGTAGCCTGAATTTTTTTTGCACAGTACTCATATCAACACTGCATCTCCATAAACAACAAGCATTTAGCAGTGAATATCAATTGGAGGGACTTTGAGCGACATGGTAGCCTAATGGTGATGTCATTCACCTCCTGTTTGGAAGGTTGAGAGTTCAATCCTAGGTAGCGGCAGATGTTTCTCTCCTAGGGCACAAAGAGAAAATATCTGCTGCAAATTGCACATGGCATCAGGAAGGACATCCGGCCAATAAATGCTCAGCCTTGGTTCCACCTCTAATTAAGGGATTACATGGTCATAAAAAGGGAGTTTTATCAGTCGGAGGGATTTCTTCATCAATCAAAAATTTAATCATGGTGTGCATTGATGAGTACTCCTTGAAGGCCATTTCGCAAACAGTTGCATCACAACTTTTTCCCAGCAATCTTGTGACAACTGCAGTGAAAGAACAATATAAGGAACATGTTAGAGCTTCTGACAAGTCACTATTACCATACATTGGCAATGTATAACGTTAGAGGCATTGCTTTTCATTCAACCTGTATAGGCTACTCAAAATTTATTTATTTATTTATTTATTTATTTATTTATTTATTTATTTATTTGTTTGTTTATTTATTAATTTATTAATTTATTTATTTATTTATTTATTTATTTATTTATTTATTTATTTATTTATCCGCCCATGGCAACTCAAGGCAGCTTACAGAATATAAAACCACATTTAAAACAATAAAAACTAACAAAAAGAATCAAATAAATTAATATAGTACAATATAACAAAATCACCCCCCACCTCCTCCCCCGGCAACAGCAGACATGAGCCATTTAATGGGCTCCATCCCGCTCTGGGTTCCCCAGGCCCGCTGGCAGAACCAGGTTTTCAGCGCCTTCTGGAAGAGTATTAGAGTGGAGGCCATTCTAATCTCTGGGGGAACGATGTTCCAGAAAGAGAGAGCCACCATGGAGAAGGCCCTTCTTCTGGGTCCACCAGGAATATCTCCCTCGGGGATGGGACCCGCAACATTCCCTGCCTCCCTGCTCTGATGTGTCAGGTAGATGTGACCGGCAAGAGATGGTCCCTCAGATAAAATTGTTCAAGATTTGGTCACCAAACTGCACTTGGGGACCAGATTTGTTCCCAATTGCCAAATTTTACAACCGCTGGAGCTTATGGACAGAGTCTCCTGCGTTATCTTGTGCCAATTAGGCCTGCAGTACTTGCTGATGTCACCCATCCATCTTGTTTTAGGTCTTTTTCGTGGATGCTTTTTATCAAGTGGCTGTCAAGGTTCTAAGTAATACATCCATCCCCAAAAAAAGAACTCCGAGGCAGGCATATTCCTCAAAGAATGATTATTGGGAGATATCATACTGGCACACTCAGTGGAAAACTGGCTCTGGGTTCCCACCGGTTTCCCACCCAATTAAAAGTAAAACTTTACCACTTCCCCCGCAAGTCACCAGTCACATGGCCTAATCAGCATACAGTCCAGTCACTGGCTTCTTCTGCCTACTCTGCTCAAACACCTGCAGAAACGTCCTTGACTCCCAGGGAAAAGAATTTTATTTTGGCTACAACAGCCCCAACTATCTCTACACCACCCTCCCTTGCCCCTTAGCTCCAGGCTGTGTCATCCCTGAAACCAGGCAGGGACAAAACCTTAGAAGAAAGCTATGAAAAAGAAAATGGCCACAGTTAGGCTCACTTCAGGGTTGACAGTGGGATCCATTCTATGACTTCCTTGGTCCACCTGCCAACCAGTTCTTGCTGTGTGACCAGCCCATTTCCATTTCAGTTCTTTTATTCTCTTGATGATATAGTTTACTTTCGTTTGTTCTCTAATCCATATGCAGGTCTTTCTATCTTGTCTTATGATGCCGAGCATATATCTTTCCCATGGCTCTTAGCATCACTCGTAGCTTTTGTATTGATTGTGAGGTTAGTGTCCATGTTTCACTGGCATATGTTAGAACGAGTAGCACACACTGATCAAAAACTTTTCTGTTCAGGCATAGGGGGAAGTTGTTCTTGAAAATTATGCTTAGCTTGCCAAATGCCTGCCAGCCACATTTAACACTCCATTCAATTTCCTTTATTGTATCACCCTCCACTGAGATGCATTGGCCAAGGTATATGTAGTAGTTTACTGTGTCTAGCTCTTCTCTAGATATATTTTCTTTCTTTGATGAATAAGCATCATAATCTACCTGATTAAAAAGACATGGATTTTTTTTCGCCCTACAGCCATCTATGGGTGTGCCTGGCCAACCTCTGATGCCCAGTGCAATGGATCCGGCAATCCGATCACAAGGTGAGCGGTGAGTTAAAATGGGATGAGTGGATAGTCAGAGTGACATGAGACTATGGTGCAAGCTGGGAAATGAGATTAATGGTGGATCTCTTTAGAATCTATATCCTTCCATTTCATAAATAAATGAGATAAATATGCATCTCATAAATAAATCAATAAATGTCAAAGTATCTTACTTGGAAATTATTTGCATTAAAAAAAAACGCAAAGCGCTTCTGAAATATTTCTGAATTTTTCACATCCTTGCCTATATTTCTTTCAGCGCAGTATGTAGTCATGTTTGGTAAAGCTAATGAAAATGCTGTAAACTTCTGAACTTGTTCCTTTTGCTTCGTTTAACTCCTTGAATGTGCAGATTTTTTGGCTATTGCTTCTTCTTTGAGGCTTCAGACACATTAGAGACTTTGATTCTACAGTTGCATCTTAAATATGTTTGATCTCCCCAATTCTCCCCTCTTTTCCCATTCCTTTTGCTACCAGTAGGGCATCCTAACATGGGCCCGATGCAGCGCATGACCCCACCACGGGGTATGACAGGAATGGCTCCACAGGTGAGCTCCCGAAAATAGATAGATTTTGAAACAAGTTAGTGGATCTGGAAATATTATTTGATACGAGATTGTGATTGGGGGGTTGTGTATGTATGCGCATGCATGCCAATCTGAATGCAAAAGATGGTCTAGAAGCTCAGGGAGTTTTCCAACTGCTTGGAGCTCACAATTTAATTTGCATATTCCTTAAAACTGATGCACTTTGTTTTCATTCAGTTAGAATAAAGAAAGGTTCAGTGGTGAATCTGGTAGGCACCCTATGTAACCCTGGACTCCCTCCTGGGTTGCTTAAGGTATATAAATAAAAAATAAAACTAGCGTTAAATCAGGGGTGAAATGCTCCCAGTTTGGACTGGCTCGGGCGAGTAGATAGTGATGGTGGCGGGCAGTTCGGAGAACCGGTAGCCAAAATCCCTGCCCCCGCCCCCCATGCTCAGCTGAGCCCCGCGATCATCAGAGCCTTTTTTTCCTTTTAAATGGCTCTGACCAGCCAAGCTCTGACATCCCAGCTGAGTTGCCTGCTAATCAGGCAACTCAGCTTGGATCGCCAGAGCCATGTAAAAGAAAAAAAGTTTCTTTTTTCCTCCTCCTGCCCCTCCCAGCCTCCAGCTTGCTTACCTTAGCTGCTGATTGCATGACGATTGCAATCCATGCATCAGCAAGCAACTGAATCTCCCTGCCTGCAATCAAGCTCATCGGTGAGCAGCTCTTTCTGCCTGCCTGCCTAGACTTGTGGACTTCAACTCCCAGCAAAGCTGGCTGAGGAATTCTGGGAGTTGAAGTCCACAAGTCTTAAAGTTGCCAAGGTTGGAGACCCCTGTTCTATTGGGTAAGTTTTTTTCCCATTTGGGAGCTTTAAAAAAAATAGTTAATTGGGTTTTTTTTTTAGTTGTTCTTTTTTTAGACCTAGCCATTTAAAGTTTAGGAAGTTTTAAATTTAGCTGCTTTTATATAAAAATAAAAATAAAATAATATTTGTGCAGCTTTCTGAGATTTAGTGTGTTTCTGTAGTGTTTTACTCTAACTACACAAACACACAAAATCTCATAAAGCTGTATGTGGAATTTTGTGTGTGTAAAGTGTGAAAGTTGGTTTTTTGGGCTTTTTGTGGCTGTGTGAGGTTCCTGCTTGTTGCAGGGGCCATTTTGGGTCTAGCCCAGCTGCTTTTACATTGTGGGTGAACCAGTTGTGTTGTGTTGTGTTGTGTGTGTGTAAAGTGTGAAAGTTGTTTTTTTGGGGGGCTTTTTGTGGCTGTGTGAGGTTCCTGCTTGTTGCGGGGCCATTTTGAGTCTAGCACAGCTGCTTTTACATTGTGGGTGAGCCAGTTGTGTTGTGTTGTGTTTTGTAGGTTAAAAAAGGGCAAAGAAATGACATTGACTTGGCCACGCCCACCCAGTCACCTTACCACCAAGCCACGCCCACTAATTAAGCCACGCCCACAGAACCGGTAGCAAAAAAAATTAGATTTCACCTCTGCGTTAAATATTTCTAATCTGCCATTTCCCCTTGTAATTATTTATTTTAAACCTGTATGCTGCTTCCTATTAAAATTTGCATGGTGACTCACAGTAAGTGAACAGGCTTGAAGGCAGTCTGGATTAAGTAGTATAAAATATGAAGAAAACGTGAAAGCAGGTTCTTAAAAATCCATGTGGAAACAGTGCCCGAAATACAGGTAATCCTCAATTTACAACCATTCATTTAGCAACCTTTCAAAGTTACAACAGCATTGAAGAAAGGGACTTACAACCAGTCCTCACACTAACTGTTCCAGCATCTCCGTTGTCACGTGATCAAAATTTGAGCAGTTGGCAATTGGCATGTATTTACAACAATTGCAGTGTCCCCCATGTCCCGGGGTCCTATGATCGCCATTTGCAACCTTCCCAGCTGGCTTCCAACTAGCAAAGTCAATAAGGGAAGACAGATTCACTTAACAGCTGCCTGGTTCACTTAACAACGGCAGTGTTTTGCTTAAAAAATCACAGCAAAAAAATCAGATGCCACTCACTTAAAAACCCACCTTTCTTAGTAATGGAAATTCTGGTCTCAATTGTGGTCATAAATCGAGGCATACCTTTATATATTTTTGAAATTAGTGACAGCTAGTTATTGTTTGAACTAGAGGAACAAAATGCTTTGCCCTTAATAGTGACGTGAAGTTTCTTATCAATGGTAGCCGTAATGGTAATAATACAAAGATCCTGACCTCTGTACTAAATAGATAAATCCCATTGGGTAAAATTGGTGCTATAGGTGAGGAATGACTGGGATGGGAATCAAATACTCTTGATTGGTTTCGCTTCCTTCCACTAATCCCTTCCTGCTTTTTCTTCATCCAGAATTATGGTGGTGGCATAAGACCTCCTCCAGGGTCCCTGGTTTGCCCTGGTATGCCCACAATGAACATGTAAGTGTCTACATTAATTTCTCTTGGGAAGGGGTAGCCAAAGGACATCAGAGAGAGTGTGTCTTTTCAGCAGAACAGGGACATCATAATCCCTTCCCAGGAACTCTTCCAAATGTTTGAGAGGTCAGCCTTGTACATTTTTCTCCGCAGAGCTCCGGGTGTTCGAGGATCCTGGCCAAATATAAACACAAACTCGGTAGGTCTGGTTGATTTATTTTTTTTTATTTAAATAAAACGTTCTCTACAATTCAGAAAGTCACAGTGGCTGCATTCACACAACAGACTTCACCAAGGAGGAGAAAAACTTAGTGGCTGCACTTAACACAACATGTTGTTTATGTTTGGTCAGAGTTTTTGTGTCTCGGTTTGTGGTACACACCAGGGGTGGTATTCACTTACCTTCGCTATCGGTTCGCAAATGTGAGCACGCGCAGGGCCTTCTGCACATGCGCAGAGGGTCAACAACTTGCATTAATGGGACATGATGACGTCCGGGCGGGTGGGCGGAGCCTCCCGCAGCCGCTGCTACTGGTTTGCCAGAACCGGATAGAACCAGCTGAATACCACCACTGGTACACACCCAACCAGTTTATTTATTTTGTAACTCAGGAAATTATACAGAGTCTCCCCAAATGGGTTAATTCGGTAACCAGGTTAAGCAGACCTACCATATGCAGCCAATGCCTGATATATTCTGCTTCCCAGATAAGATCTTTATAACATTTATATTTTATTGTGTTCTACTAAACTAGATGAAATGTTAATATATATTGCTAGTCCATGTATGATATCCCATTCGCTAAATAAGTAAATCTGGTCCGCAGCTGATGATTTTTGCCCTCTCCTTTTTATCCTGTTTAGGTATCCTATTCCTCATCTTCTCCTGGCAGCTATGGGGTAAGTGGCTGAAGAGGTGTGAAAAGATGTGGGGTGGACTTCCTAGGCAAATTTTGAACACCAGTCCTGATACAGGGCAGATGGATGTAATAAATCTGCTTGCAAGACATGGTTGATAATGTTGATGAGAATGATTCCTCCATAAGGTAAACCCCAGAATCATGAATATTATTTCTCTCTCTCTCCTCACAGGGAGGCGGAGGCCCCCCTGGCACTCCTCTCATGCCAAGCCCTGGAGGTAAGTATCCTGCGAATGAAGGTAAACATAGTATTCTGGGATAATGTTAGAGGATCCAGTAAGAGTCAGTCAGCAAGACCAAAGATTTATTCTTCCCCTGATGATGAGCTCCAGCATGAGCCCGAAAGCTTGGAAGAATAAACCTTTGATCTCAGTGACTGACTGGGATTGGATCCTTGTAAATATCCTAGATTCTATTTTGGAAGGAAATTATTTCTGAATGCCCCACTTTTCTGTCACAATGCCTCAGAAAGTCTTACCTATCCTGGTGTCTTTCAGATGTTTTGAGTTTCAATACTTATAGTCATTAGCCAACTTTTTCTTTTTCTTTCTTTATTTAATAAGAACAGAGAGAGGAAAAAAAGAAAATAATAACCCCAAAAAAAGGGAAACAAGGCAATACAGCTAGTACTTGATTTACAACCACTCATTCAGGACCGTTCAAAATTGGAACACCTGTGAACGAGGGGAACTTACGATCAGTCCCCAAGGTGATCCCAATCATGTGATCATAATTCAGGCATCATTATAATGTCGTAATGAGCCACAATCGCATGATCACCGTTTGCAACCTTCCTTGCCAGCTTCCCACAAGCAAAATCAAGCGGAAACCTGGCAGGATTGCTCACAAGTCTCCCTTGTAAGTAGGTCCCACTGCTTATTCTCCTGAGGAACTCAGGAGTGGAGTATGAGACTCCAGATATCTGTCTAGCATCCTCTGTCTCCCTGCCCATAGTACCCCTCCTCTATATTCCATAGTGTAGTGTGCATTCACCTGCATTAACCCCTTTCTACCCAGGATCCCAGCCCATCTGCCTGTACTCTCCAGTGCCCGCCCATTGGTTTGCTTATGTTGTCGTAGTGTCTAGTGGTTAAAGCACCAGGCTAGAAATCCAGATCCTATGACTTCTAGTCCCACCTTAGGCATGAAAACCGACTGGTGACTTTGGGCCAATCACTGTCTCTCAGTCCAATCCACCTTACAGGGTTGTTGTGAGGAAAATAGGCGTATTAGCTATGTTTGCCACCTTGAGTTATTTATAGATAGGAAAGAAGGAAGGAAAGAAAGAAGAGAAAGGAAAAGAGAAGGAAGGAAAGGAAAAGAAAGAAGGAAAAGAAGAAGGAAGGAAAGAAAGAAAGAAAGAAAGAAAGAAAGAAAGAAAGAAAGAAAGAAAGAAAGAAAGAAAGAAAGAAAGAAAGAAAGAAAGAAAGAAAGAAAGAAAGAAAGAAAGAAAGAAAATCTTCCAAAACACTGTTTTAAATTAATTTTGAAGACTGGATTACCACATTGGATAAATGTAATCAAGGGCTCAGCCGACATGAAAATTGGAGATTTAGAATGAAAACAAATGGTACATCAATTGAGATGAGGAGGTTACTGCCAGGTTTGATAGGCTTCCTCCAGTTATTTTTTTACTTCTAATTTAGAAAAACCAAGTATACTGTGTGAATGTAGCCACTGAGTCTTATCTGAGTTACGCATGTAGTGGCCATTGAAAAAGAGTTCAAGAGAAGTTCCTGTGGTTCCTTTCTCTCTAAAGACACACACACACACACAGCCCAGCTAAAAATAAAAGTGTCTAAGCAAGGATGTTGTATAGGAATGCCTCAGCTTTGCAGCCCTTCTGGTACTTGACATTCTTTTCCTTGAGCACTAGAGTCTGCTTAACCTTAGTTTAGCTCAATGTTTCTCAGCCTTGCTAATTTTAAAATGTATGCACTTCAACTCTGAGAATTCCCCAGGCAGCCATGGTAAACCTTGAGCTAAATCAAGGTTAAGAAGACCCTAGTCTAGTTGTTATGCTAGCTAGACTGTAAACAATCTACAGATTAACCTACATATCAAGCAGTGGTGGGTTTCAAATTTTTTTACTACCAGTTCTGTGGGTGTGGCTTGGTGGATGTGACATTGCTTGGTGGGCATGGCTGGGGAAGGATACTGTAAAATCCCCATTTCCACTCCATTCCAGGGGAAGGATACTGTAAAATCTCCATTCCCTCCCCACTCCAGGGGAAGGTTACTGCAAAATCCCCATTTCCACTCCATTCCAGGGGAAGGATACTGTAAAATCTCCATTCCCTCCCCACTCCAGGGGAAGGTTACTGCAAAATCCCCATTTCCACCCAGTCAGCTGGGACTTGGGAGGCACAGAATAGATGGGGGCGGGGCCAGTCAGAATTTTTACTACCGGTTCTCCGAACTACTCAAAATTTCTGCTATTGGTTCTCCAGAACTGGTCAGAACCTGCTGAAACCCACCTCTGATATCCAGCTAAAGCCCTCCTCCAGTGCATAATATAATTCAGCCTACTGTAGATTGAAGAGGCATCTCTGGCTAAATTTTGCAATGGAGCTCTGGACTAGACAGACTTTTGACCTCATTCAGCCAGATTTTAAACCCTAAGGATGAAGCCTCCATTTATTTGAGGCAGCATATCTCTGAATACCACCCAACTTCATGTCCTGCTGATGGACTTCCTTGAGATTTCTAGATGTTCACTGTATGAAAAGAAGACCACCTTGGTAACTTTTTCTTGCAATGCCCTGTCCTTGTTTCAGACTCCACCAACTCTAGTGAAAATATGTACATGATGAACTCTGTTGGCCCTCCACCAAGCCGGCCTGGGGTAAGTGCCTTCTTCCTGCTCACTCCCTGTTGCTGGGTGATATTCTATGACTTATTTCTTATTTCACCATGAGTGAGTTGGGCAGCCATATGCATTTTCTAAATAAATAAATACATACATACAGGGGTGGGATTCAAAAATTTTAGCGACCGGTTCTCTTCCTGGTTGCTGGGGGGGCATGGCCATGGTGGGCGTGGCCTACTCGGCCTCCTGCACCATGGGGAGGGGCGTTTTCACCCTCCCCCAGCTCCAGAGGCTTTTTTCGAGCCTCCGGGAGGGCAAAAACGGCCTCTCCCAGGCTCCGGAGGCCTTCCGGAGGACGGAATCGGGCCATTTCCAGACTTCCGGAACTTCCGTGAGGCCCGTTTTTTGCCTTCCCAGAGCCTCCACGCAGGCGCTGCACTTACTTGGCATCCAAAACAGTCCACGTGGAGACTCCTTGGAGAGGTGCGGGGTGGGCGGGGACAGCCAGTCCTTACAACTACCAGTTCGGCGAACAAGATGTAAAATTAGCATCCGGTTCACCTGAACCGGCTAAATCCCACCCCTTACATACATACAAACAAACATGAAGGAGAAAACTGTCATGCTTCTCCGCCTGGAATCTGCCCTTCCTCATTATTTCTGTATTTCTCTTCACGTTCTCTGTTCATAATGTTTAGTTCTCCATGGGGCCAAGTCCAGAAGGTCCAATGGCTGGAATGAGTGCCATGGAGCCCCATCATATGAATGGATCCTTAGGTAAGTAGGGACCTTCCTGCAGGGCTGGCCATGGACAATAAAAATCCATAAATAAATCCAATCCAATACATTCTCAGTGTCTCTTGCATGCTGAAAGAGGTCAAGTCCAATTGGGTGTGATTTTAGGACACATCCATAAAATTCTTATATTACTTATGTCTATTTAGAAATGTTTTGTCATTGGTTTCCTCCAAGATGTTTTTTTAACTTCCCAGTCTAACCTCTAGATGTGAAATCTTCTGATGGTCTATCCAAGTCCTGACCAGTTCCAAGCTTGCTTAGCTTTTTGAGTTCTGCCAAGATCAGCTAGGTTCTGACTGGAGTAGGAGTGCAGACCATTGGACGCCAGAATGCTAACTCTGAGTATCCTCTAGCTTTAATTTTGGCAGACAAAGATGAGAAACAACTTCCATGCTTCAGTATCGGGGAGTTGGTGTTCCTACACACAGATGTCCATTTATTTGTTGGTTACCTAGCAGGGATGTTATACAATTGAGATTCCTGAGCTTAAAATCAGATACAGATGTCCTTGACTTTCTACCATTCATTCAACAACCATTCAAAGCTAACAATGCCGCTAAATGAATGGTTGCACAGCTTGGTTTCTAGATGAAACTTATATAAGAATGTAACTACTTTAGATAGGACCAGAAATATGTTGGGCTAGCCATCTGAATTCAGGAGTAATAGCTTCCTTCGTTCAACGTCGTCCTGAGGCAGGCTGACTTTTTACAGAGTTTATTTATTATTTATTTATTTATTTTGTCGCATTTCTATGCTGCCCCGCTCCCAAGGGACTCTGGGCGGCTTACAACAGAGAATAAAACAATGCAACAATATCCCATACAAAAATTAAAAGAAGACATTAAAACATTAAAACATTAAAACACATACACTCCAATTTTTGGCCGGGTCTCGCAAGATCATTATAACAAGATCAACAGCCCCAGATCTTCACCGCTTTGCGGAAGGCCAATAGGTTTAGTTGTTTTGGTGAAAGCTCTGTGAAATGGCATGATTGCAATTATTCTTGAAGGTTTGGGGAAGTAAAACATTGATTGTGTGAAAGGGACCACATAGCCAGGATCAAGAACTGAACATTAATATCCCATTCAGAGGAGTTCTTGAGGAAAGAAATAGGTTTTATAAGACTTTCTTAAAAACTGATCGCGATGGCAGCGGATATTCTATACCTCTGTAAAGTCCATTGGCAGGAAGTTTTTATTGGTAAGAATTTCTGTGGATTAAGTGGAGGTTCCTAAGACTTTGGCTGCCACTAAATCTGTGCTTTCCACAAAAGTCTTTCAACCTGGTAGAGACCACCTAAGGGCTGGGGTTTAACTGCCTTCATTCTCATTGCAGGTCCAGGTGAAATAGATGGGATGCCCAAGGTAAGAGTTTGCATCATGGTGTCCTCTTCCAGAGGGCGAGCTGGAGTTCCACAGGCCCTGGGGACCAAGGGATTAGAAGGGGATCAGGAAAGATTATATGGCTTTAGAGGAGAGCATGATATCTACTCGGTGGGGTCCTCTCAATGTAGAATATCTTTAGGAATAAAGAGAGTCAATTGACCTCCCCAGTAATTAGTTGGCCTAACATTGTAAGAAAGGTATTTGAGAGGGAACCAGGGTATTTCTGGGGCTAACTCTTATCACGTAGTCCTTGACTTACAACCAATCACTTAACGACTGTTCAAAGTTATGACTGAGCCAAAAAAGAGGACTTATGATCCAAATTCAAAGTTTGTTTATTTATTTATTTATTTATTAGATTTAGAGACAACCCATTATTCTCTGGGTGACTCTGGAAGTTCTGGTGGTTAGATCTCCCTGAATGTGATTGAATTTTGGGCGCTTAGCAATACTGCAAATGGCTGCATTTACGGCCATTTGCAGCAGCATACGCTCACATGACTGTATTTTACGACAGTTTTACCAAAAACTGCCACTTCTAATTTTCGGCAAAACTTCTCCCATAGCAAATCATTGGTTCACTTAACAACCAAAGATTTTGCTTATTGATGGCCACCAAAAAGGCTGTAAAATTGGGTTGGTCATGTGATCTGCCTGCTTTGCAACCATTATGACATTCAGTCACACTGGGCAGACTCCATTATGCTCGTATGTCGAGGACTGCCTGTAATTAAGCAGGTTATTTCTGTGTGAGAAAATACCTACCGCAATGTTGTTTCTGTCAACTTGCAAAGCTTTCAAGTTGCCATGAGCAGGAGGGAGGGAGAACTGAAGTGAATTCCATACCTTCTTTCTGACCGCAATCAGAAGGAGGGTGTTAGGTTTCATAGCCAGCCAAAGTGGTTAATTGGAGAATGTGATTTATGACATGGCCAGAGAGGAGGGGAGAGACAGGGTCATAGGGGAACGTAAATCTACATAGGATCAGTCCTAACTGCATTTGAGTATTGCCGGAATGTTGCTCCTAATAAATGAATATATTTCCTTTGAAGTTTGGATCATGGCTCATGAATTAATTAGGGCATCTTTTGGAAACTTGACAGTTTCCCCATGATGTAATTCAGGGGTCTCCAATCTTGGGAACTTTAAGACTTCTGGACTTCAACTCCCACAATGGTGGGAGTTGAAGTCCACAAGTCTTAAAGTTGCCAAGATTGGAGACCCCTGATCTAATTAAACTGATTGTGCAAACAGAATCTAAGAACTTCATAAGGTCGAGAAACTGGCTTTTTTTAAAAAAAAACAGCCAACCTTTTCCAAATGATGCCTTTTTAACAATGCTATCTTTAACTCTGAGAATGTGTTCTAATCATGGTTCATATTAGGATGTGGTCTAATCATGGTTCAGATGTGAATTGCCTGTTTTTTTTCTCTCTCTCTTTTATTTCTGATTTCCAAGAATTCCCCGGGTAGCATGGCCAGCATAGCTAACCCACCGGGCACCCCACGTGATGACAGCAGCAGTGAGATGGGCAGCAGCTTCATAAACCCCTTCCAAAGCGAGAGCGTAAGGGCCTGCGTGGAGCGGCGGCCGCGGAGGGGGCGGGGATCTCGGGGGGCACGCGGGGGGCGGGGCACCCTGTGGCAGGGTCGGACTGGGCTGTCAGTACCAACAGCTAACAGTGCCATCTCATGCTGGAAGCAGCAGCTGTCAGAGGTGTGAAGAGGAGGCCGGTGCCCCCCCCTCCATGATGGACCCTTCCTCTAATGCTGTGGTGTCTCCCATCTGTCTCCCCAGTATTCGCCCAGCATGACTATGAGCGTGTGACCCGGCCCGGATGCCCAGTCCCAGAGGAGCCAGACTGATGCCCCCCCCAGGGGTCTTAATCCCCCTGTATTTAATAACAGCTTCCCTTGATTGCTAGTCTCAGCCCCCCTGCCCCCAGTCTGGACTTTTGATCCCCGCCCAGGTCACCATCTGCCCTCTAACTGGTACTCAATAAACTGTAGTGACTTGAGAATTGTCACTAATCAAGTGGGACAGCCGAAGGTTTGATATGCTGCACGAGCGGACAGTTATGAAAGGCAGGGAGATGCACCCTCTCCTGCTGGACTGCAGCATCCCTTACCCCAAGGGGTTTATGATGATCCATTGGACATTGGGACTATCATCTACTGTGCGTCTTTGGACTTTTAAATTCTGCATTGTAGCAGGAACAGTTGAACTGTTTGGAAAGCTTCATTTTGGTCTCTGTTCTTTAAACCTGGTGGTACAGTTGGGGGAAAAAGCATGTGCATCAGGAAACATGGTTAAGACTCTTCCGGAGTTTTGAAGTTCAGCAGGAGGGCTGGAGGAGGAGACAAAGCCCCTTTTGGTGAGCTTGGGAGGTGAATGGGAAAGACGTGGTGGTGGATGAAAATTGGCTGCCACGAGCTGATTGAATTAATTTTGAAGGGGTGTGGACTTGACCGGCAATGCAAATGTTTTTGAGGAATGGGCAGACTCGCTTCTCTCATGTCTGCAGCCAGCTTTGGTTTCCTACCTAGGTTCATTGGGCTAGAAAAAAATATATAGCAAAATTGTTTCCTAATTGCACAGACTTCCATGGAAGTATTCTTGATTCTGCCCATATCGGTTAGCAGAGACTGTGTGATACCAGATGCTATGGGGGTGGGGAGAAAGATACCCTAATATTGAACTCAAGGTGAATTTGAGCTTGGTTCCTGATGAACTTCACAGAAATTTCCATGTTGTTTTCTTGGCAATAGCATGGAGGTATTTTGCCATTGCATTCTTCTGGGATGTATTTTCAGCTTCCTACAGCCTTGGGATTTCCTAGTGTCTCCCATTCTGGTATTAACCAGACTAAAATCTGCACAGCTTCCAAGCCTAGACAAGTTCAGCCAGATGCTGCCACCAGCTGATCTACTAGTTGCTATGCAAAGACACAAATTACGATAGCAGTTAGTGTTTTTCCCTGCATCATGTTTTTAGCCTTTTTCATTTTTCTCTCTCAAATAGGGTGTTTTGAACACCTATGGCACGCCTTTTCTGTCACCTCTGTCAGCAGTAACTGAAAAAGAAACTTGGCTGTAAGAGAACTTTATGGCAGAGGTACACATTAGAGATTTCCCCTGTTCTGTCTTCCATCCCTTTCAGCTAAGAAGGTAAAGGGGAAATGCTGTGAATGACTTGTAAAAAAAGGCTACACCTCCATCTCTTCCCAACACTAACAAGAATATAAAAATATACCTTTGACTGTCTCTTCAAAAGTCAAAAGCCAGTCCTCCTTCTGTCAGCTTTCAGATATTTCCTATTACAATTCCTGCCATCCATAGCCAGCAACTTTGGGTGTTGGGAGCTTAAAGCTAAGACCTGTGAAGAAGGGCATCAACTCAAGAAACCCTGTTGTTATTTATGTGTCAGTGAATACAGTACTTTGGAAGAGATCTAATCGTTTGGCCAATTCTCACACCTGTTATCAAAGGAACACCTTTGTGTGTCCTCTGAGATGGATGGAGATGGTTTGGCCCTTGAGAGGTACTGAACACGGTTATCCTTTGAGGTTTATATTGTGAAAGTGCAAACAATGTGAAAGTGATTGGCCTTTGCCATCTGGGAGGGTTGACTTCCCAGTCTAGTCTTTAGTTCTGGAATGTCCTGAAGGTCTCACAGCCACGTGAGACTTACCTAACCTACTTACCTTTTTTTCAAAGAACCAACTGTACAAATCACAACCCAAGCATGGGTGATTTTCTTGTTTGGGGTAGGCAACCACCATAGCTGGACAGTTTCTGAGCTCAAGCCAAGGGGAGCCCACCTTCTCCTTCATTATCAGAGGACTCTTCTAGCAGAAAGTTTACTCAAATATGTAACCAGTTTGTCTTCTTGGGTCTTCAATTCATTCAAGCTACAGAGGTCTTGACTTTCAGTGGTACTTCAAGAGTGCCATCATATTTTCCCTTTCCCCCTTTGTTCTTTTTCACTCAAGGCTTAACACACCCAACTCCCTCAGTCTCTTCTCATAGGACTAAAATTCCTACCAGGCCTATGAGCAGGCAAGATCAAAAAACAGGAAGACTAAAGCTATACTTTATTGAACAGGCTACAGTCACAGAATCTTGCAAGTCTGCCCATGTTTTCCCTTCCATCCTTCTTATACCAGGAGGAGCCAGTCTGAATCTTTTTCTAATGCTTTCTCACCTACCTGGGCTTAATGCATGCTTCAGCATTTGTGGTTGTTCTGTGGGCTACTCAGTGTCTTCACCAAGATCATCTCCGTTAGGTCCCTACAGTTCCTGACCCAATGGTCCTTTCCTCTACTTTCTTTGAACTCATTCCAGTTGGTTTCTTAAACTGTGGCATCCAGTACCAAACTGAACAATGACATTATCTTTATTATTGTCATCCCTATCATCTCTGCAAGCTGAGATGCCTGAGGGCCTAACTTTTCCAGAAAATACTGGGATTTTAGATCTCAGCTTTGAGATCAGCCAAAAAAGAACTGAGTCATTCTGTTTTGCTTGGTTAGTTATGAGTGATCATTACAATTCATAGGCATTCAAAGGGAGAAAGTGAAGAACGTAATTGTACAGTACTCTCTTGACACAAATTTTGCCCCTTAGTATTTCATGTTCCTATATATTTTGGCATTGTGATTAGGCATGGATGCCTGTATTATTATCCACTAAAATAATCAGCAAAATCTTGGGTTAGATTTGAAGTCTGAGAAACATGCTGGAAGAGGTCACATACAAAAGTGGGAACAAAAGCTATTTCACCTTAATTTACCTTTGATTCAAACGAACCGAAGAAGATACGTTGGCTTTCCATGTCCCTGATAATTATCCGCTCCAGGCATACTAAAAATTAAAATTAAGGGACAGCTTTTACAGGGGCGTTGAGCGAAGTTGCAGATTATGCATTCCCTGCTTTAGATCTGCTAGTTCTAGATTTTCTGAAAAGAAAATGCTAGTTCTGGATTTTTTTCCCCTATCAGCTCTTTCAAATGCCATTCTTCACCATCTGCTTTTTTATAGTCCATCAGCCCTTGTTCCTCTTACATGGGCTAATGCTATACACTATAATAATAATAAAACAAAACAGGCACTAAGCTCGCTTCATTTATGTGAGAACAGGGCTGGCCACAGAGATGCAAGTATGAGGGAGCCAGATTTAGAATGGGTTTATCTCTCTGAGGCCATTACTATTTCAGGAAGATCCCTTCTTCCCACAAGCCTACGGTTTCAGCAGCTGAATTTAGGTAAGCACAAAGAAACAATCTATAAATGTAAGAGCAATTTCTAGCTGATCGCATCCTTTCTTCCCAGCTCTCCTTGGATGCAGCTTGCAGCCCTATCTTTACAGCGTAACTGGAATATGATACTGACTCACTCTCCCACCCACCACCATCATTTCAGAAACTTAAGAACTCATGTCAGTGCTGTTTCTGTTGCCACCCTGAGGAGAAACAGGTACATTCCATAATAGCAATGCAAAAAGGCAGAATCTATTCCCCCCCCCCCAACAATTTATATAAAAATGGGCTCTCATCCTATTCTTTCCTCCCTAGGAATTTTAACAAGAAGGTGGGGAGGGCTCTTCTGATCATGTTCTTATTTCTGCCTGGTCACTCTGTAACTTCCAAAACCATGTTTACACCTAGCACTTCCATACCTCTGGGATGTGTGTGATCTTTTAATAGCAAATGATTTATATGTAAAGATTTGAGGATTTGGATTGTATATTCCCATTTGGTACAAAACTTCCTCCTCAACTTAACCTGGATCTGTGGCTGGGGAATAAATGTCCTCAATCGGTATCTTATCAAATTCATGTCTCACAAGTCAAAATTATTTGGGGGGATATTTCTGCATCTCAGAATTTTGTAATATAGCTTTTTCCCCCCGAACTGCAAGGAAAAGCAACTACAAAAATGTATGTAAGGAAAAATGATACGCAAAGAGCTAGGGCAAAATTTTATATCCAAAATGTCATAGTTTTAAAGTTACGAGTGATGTAGAAACAGAAGGAAATTAATTTGTGGCTAGAAAAAATGAGAAATCAAATTCATATTCATAACATCTTAACACTTTTGAAGTGTTGGGGTTTCACAGCTTTTGTGCGATTGTAAAAAGTATATTGGGGAGAAGAGAAATGTTTGACTCTGCTCCTTTTTTCTGGGTTTGGGGTCAGCTTCTGCACAAATTCAAAGAATGGGAAAGAAGGCAAATTTGCTGCCTCAATCCAGATCCAAAGGAATTACAGCATCAGCTTGGGCTTTTTTTTCCATTGTTATTCTGTGTAAATAAAATACCATTTTTGGAGGAAGTCATTGAATTTTTAAGGTTTCCAATGAGAAAACTTGCATCAATAAATGTAATTTGGATTTTTTTAAGAAAAAGAAATGTCTGCAAGTGGTTTGTTTCTTCCCATTCAGCAAGCAGAACAATCTATTATCTTCCCTCAGGGGACAAATCCTGATACTGCTAAAATAAAATCCAAGATTCAACTAAGCCAACATCTGGTGGCCAGATGCCAGCAGCAAGCCTCCTACAGGAAGATCACATGTTTTTCTTGTTTGAATCCTAGCAACTCGTTTTCAGTTGGAGTATAGAGGCACTGATAGGGCAGAGCAAGAATAAATTGAGTACAATCTCTTTCTCCTACAGCAAACATCCAGCCAGATCCCCATGGATAATCAAGAAACCCTTCCTTCCTGTTCTAATAATCAAAGACACACTATTTCTTAATACTGACACTGTATTTAGCCATCCTAAAATCAGCTTGGTTCAATCAAGTTTTCTTTAAAAAAAAAAAAAAAAAGTGCCAGCAAGTTGCTGTCAAGTCCTGGCAACAACATAAACCTTCACCAGATGTGGTTTTTCTACTTGTCATTTATAGGATGCATTACTTGGGTTTTGTATAGATAGTACAAACCACAGAGGTGTGTATGCCAGAAGATGCTGAGGTAGCCTTCTTAGCCGACAATGAAAGGTTGGAGGTTGACATCACAAAGTAAGCAGGCCCTCTCATCTTTCAATTTTATTCCAATGTCACCATTTAAAAAAGGATAGCCAAATAAATCTAAATTTCTGAGCTAAATGAAAGATACAACTATAGTTACATCTTATTTCAAACATTCAAGCGTTCAAGTTACATTTCATTCGTAACAGGTAAGGACACAGTAAAAGAAGGTATGTTGCCTGTCCCGAATATACAGCTTTGTCACTACTACATAAAAATATAAGTAACCAAATACAAAAAAGAGATGGGGGGGGGGTGTCGGGGTCAAGGAGGCAGACAGTCCAAGTTGTAAATCTGGTCTGGTTACCATACAGTGTTGACTAGTAGTGGAGCATGCTGTGGGCTTCTAATTTTGCAGGCCAGTTACGTGGCTGTGGGCACTGCGGGCTGGGAGGCCATTGCTTTCAGTGGGATCCACAAAACCATTCATGTGGGCCTTTTTAGGAGTGGCTACCCAAGCTGGGGGCACAGGGGAATGGCCATGCTTTGCGCAGCTCCACAATCTCTGGGTCTTGTATTCCAGCTGCATGTGGTTTTGAGGTGGGAGCCCCACGCAGGCCCTATGGAAGAAAGGAAAAAAGCCAGCAGGTTAACATACTTTCTTTGCAAGCAATCATCCACCACCCCCTCCCCCAAACACACACACACACACACGTTTTAAATCTTCAGTCTCAAGGAGACAGGCTGATACCATGCAGGAAAGAAAGGGGGGTTTCTCCTCCTGATAAAACTCTGGGAGGACCATGAATTAAAACTGTTGGCTGGCAAATCTATGGCTGAGGAGTAACACAGACTTTAAGGAACTCTGCCATAAAACGGCTTTCTGGCTTTACAGAAATTGGATACGTTCACAAAAATAGGTGTAACAGCAACTAGTAACCATGACAACTAAACAAATCTGTGTGGAGGGAGCTACCTCCAAGTATCAAGTCCTTGGGGAAAATAGGAGGGCTGTTGTCTGTCTAATACAAACACGTGGGAACAGGAGTGCTACATTTTAAGTTAAAGTTAATGGGTTTGGGGGCTAATGGAGGGCCTGAAAAGAGAGAAACCAGAGACCTACAAAGAAGAAATGTGCAGGGTTACCATGGTGACTCGAACACAGTTCTCAGCAGGCCCAGTCAAACAAATTCAGGAGTTGCTATGGTTACCTTCACAACTCTTTGCGGGAGATAGGGGGTTCGGAATTGTGAATAAAAAATAAAAGAAAATGCTCCTTTTGGTAACAGGGCAGTTGGGACTGAACCTATGTAACGAAGTCCTGATGCATCTTCCACACTCTTGAGAGTTTAATTAAGCCTCAACTAGCTTAAAATTAGTTGTTTTTTTTAGCTGTACACTACCCAGAGTCACTCTGAGAGCGAGATGGGTGGTACCTGAATTTAGTAAATAAAGTGGAGTAGTATACAGAGCAAGTACAGATTTCCACTATGACACGCAATCCATATACAGCTGGTTGCTTGCTCAGGTCCAGAATGTAATCCAAGAAGGCTGGCGTTACCTGAATAGGTTCTCAATGGCAGCCCGTTGACGGAAGAGTGCGTTGACCACTGGAGCTCTTTTAGGAACAAGGGGAGCCTTGCAGAGGAAGCTCAAGAGGGACAAGACGCTGTGAAGGGGCTCCGGCTTGGCATCTCCTATGCCCACCTGGATCCGTTGGCAGAGTTCAGCCAGAATGATCAAGTCCAAAATTATGGGAGCAGCTAGTAAGGAATCCTGCAGAACATATCAGAAATGCAAAACACTGAAAGTTGTTCCAACGTAATCATTCCTTCACACCCAGGTGTAGGAATATGCACAAATTTCCTATATTCGGAATTGGCAGTTAAGCCCTGCCTGTGAGCTAAGCAAGAAATGGAATACCTCCTTCCACATGCTCCTCCCTTCCAATCTCTTGAACAGGGTTGCCGGAAAAATAATCCGTAATCTCCTCTCCAATATAGAACATGTTTGCCTCACGTGGAATCCTAGAGCTTTGTACCCACCTCGCACATATTGTGAATGACGATGGTGTTGGTCCCCCCCAAAGCGATCTCCGAAGTATATTCATCTAGTGCCCGCTTGCTGTCACCGACGTAGGGCACATACTTGATCACCACCTGTCCGGGGAGTGTGCAGTGGTGTCTATGAGCAAGCAACAATAATCCCTTGCAGCCAACAGAGATGAACACTCCCGATAATGCATACCACACATCGCAACTAGGTTGGCCCACGATTGTACCCCAAACCACGCCACTGCCTCCCACTCACGCAGTGATCCAGATGTTCCCCTGGTCCATATAGGATGGGGTTCGACTTCACCATGTCATCCACCACGTTGCTCTTGGAAATTTCCTTGGAGCGGAACTGAGCTGGTGCGGACAGGTTCTTTCCATCGTTGTTGCCCAGGTGGTTGTAGCTAACAATGGAGACTGGCTGAAAGGAAGGAAAGAGCAGTTGTTGAAAATGCAAGGTTTCTAGTCCTTAGTATGAGCTTTGGGGGTGGGGGGATGAGAGGAAAGAGTGTTACTCAAACCATACACATATTGCAAAGCAATGACTGCTTATTTTCATGCTTACTCAGCTCAGTTTGGGAGATTAGACCCTTCTGTTCATTTTTGGAGGAAAGGCATTTGCATTCCCTTTGAGATCAAGTTACAGAGCCCTCCTTACCTTTGCACACAGATTTTAATGAAAGGGATACCTGAGGCCAGAGATCTCCCATGGTCATTTGTGGACTTTTGTTAATCTTTCTTCAACTATCAAGAGCCTTGATAGTACAGTAGTTTAATGCACCCTGTTATTAACACAGCTGCCTGCAATTTCTGCTGGTTCAAATCTCTCCAAGGCTCAAGGTTGACTCAGCCTTCCATCCTTTCTAAGGTAGGTGAAATGAGGACCCAGTTTGTGGGGGCAATAAGCTGACTTTGTATAAAATATACAAAAGAATGAAGGCTATTGCTTAACGCATTGTAAGCCGCCCTGAGTCTCCGGAGAAGGGCAGCATATAAATCAAAATTTTAAAAAAACAAAAAAAAACTTTTCTACTATTCCTGAACTTCACTTACTAAAAGGGAAAGGTTTCCATCTCAGATGGGAGGTCATCTGCCTTGAAACAATCCCTTCCAGATGTATTGGCCTATCACACCCATCACCCCAAATTGAGCCAAAGGGCAATATAACTGCAGAGGATGGGAATGATAATCCAATACCTCAGGAGGATAGCAATAGCAATAGCACTTATATACACTGCTTTACAGCCCTCTTTTAAGCGGTTTCCAGAGTCAGCCTATTGCCCCCAACAATCTGGGTCCTCATTTTACCCACCTCGGAAGGATGGAAGGCTGAGTCAACCTTGGGCCAGTAAAAACTGAACTGCTGGCAGTTGGCAGAATTAGCCTGCAGTTCTTCATTCTTACCACTGCGCCACCACAGATGGAAAAAAACTGTCCATGGTCAACCAGATTCATAAGCCACCACATTCGGGATTTGTTCTATTTGAAATTGGCATAAATTTAAGGACTTTCTGGAGGTCTTGAAGTTCACACACCTTTCAAACTACAATTATAAAATATTATAGGAGCAGTGATTGGCATTATGAAGAATATATTTAACTAAAGTTCATGGAGTTTCCTATTTTTTTACCCAGAGCCTGTGAATTGTTTGGTTTGCAATATGAAAATGTGTAAAGTGGTTCCAGTAGAAATCATACAGGTAAGGTAGTCTTTGACTTACGACTGCAAGTGAGATCGGAAATCTAATAAGTCACAAGCTGAGGCACCCACATGACTGGAAGTGTTTTTCCAACATTTTTCCACAAGTTCTTAAGAAAACGCAGTAACTGTAAAACGAACGTGGCAGTCATCAAGCAAATCCATTCATTCAAATGGCAGCTTTTGCTGGAAACCATCAAAAAACATTGCAGCCACATGACTGCAGAATGCCAAGACCAGTCAAAAGTGTCCAGTTGCCAAGCAGCTGACATGCAGTCATAACTAGGGGGGAGATCAGGGGTGAAATGCTACTGGTTTGGGCCGGTTCGCTCAAACCGGTAGTAAAAAATGTTTTAAAAAGTTTTTTAAAAATTTCCGAGGATCGCACGTCGCTCAACTGATCTTCGGAACTTTTTTTTTTTTTTTTTTTTTTTACTTTTTAAGCATTTTTTACTACCGGTTTTCCAGAACTGGTAGTTAAAAATGCTTTAAAAAGTAAAAAAAAAAAAAATCCAAAAGCACACATTTGGTGTGGTCTGAGCATGCATGCGCAGCATATGTCTGGCATACACTGCGCATGTGCGCATAGCGTGCATCTGGCATGCATTGTGCATGCGCGCACGTAGCTCGCATCTGGCATGCACCGCACATGGACGGGCAGCGAGCCGCTGGCGACCAGTGGATTTCACCACTGGGGGGAATGCATCTATTTATGACAGCTGGAGGAGTGTTATAAAGGCCATAAAAGTACCTATCCCACAGCTGCCTTGATTGTAGGCCGAGAATTACCTGTACTAAAGTTACAGCAAAGGTGGAAAAATGTATGCTGTGCCCTATGTTTGTAAACTACTGTTCCCAGCATCCCTCCTAAGCTAGGAGGTCTGGGGTTATTGGAAGCTGAAATTCCACCACTTGTGGGAGGCCCCGTATTGCCCAACCTTACAGATTAACCAGCAACTCCAAGGGCATGCCCCATCCCATTGCCACTCACCTTAATGCCAGAGCTGATGAGGAAGTCCACCAGAACTGACTTGAGCTTTGTTTGACCAGATTTGAAATCGTCTCCGGCTATAAAGACTCCCTGCTGAACAGCAAGCTCAATAACTCCTGGCACAAAAGTGTTTTGGGGAGAGCCATTGATGTAGGCACAACCTTCCAGGATACTTGCCACAGCGAAGAGTGTAGAAGGAGAAACCTCCAGGCCAGCCTGGGGAAAACATTAAGAGGTCAACAGTGGGTCAGGAGGCTGAAAGATAGACCTTCTCTTCTGCCTTTCAGCCCACAGAGACCCACATCTTCAATGAACTATTGAACTTCACAGATGTTGGAAATGTCTATAAATTGGAGAAAATACAGAATAGGGCAATGGAGGAAGGAGGACTGAGATACAATCTGGATTGCAGAATAGCTGGTTCACACATTCTACTAAGCCAAGATACCAGCTAGAACTGGCTGGGTTCATTCATAAGGTCAACCATGAGCTATTATTAACTACAGTGGCTGGGTTCACTTTATCTCACTTAAACCAAAACACAAATATGTTTATATACCTAAGGAAAGTGGATAATACAATTCTTTTTGATGAAATGCAAAAGTTGTAATATAATTGCAAATTCTCAGGTTGTCTGAGGATATTGGAAATTGTAATACCTGTATATTTGGGGAAAAACTGGATTGGACAAGGCTGCACAAATTAATCACAGTTAATTAAAGCTGAATATTTCTCTCCCTCAGCCTTGGCTACGAATGTGTCCCTTTAAAATTTAGGCTACTGCATTTTCGTTCTGAAAAGCCTTTATCTTACTTATGGTGCCACAGCTAAAAATTAAAGTAGGTGATATCTGGGACATACTTACACTAGAATTATAACTTGGTTTTTCAAAGCATTAACCTTCCTAGAATAGCCAAGAAGCTGAGAAAACATATAAAAATATACTTTCATTAAAAGCCTGGCTCATATGTCATATGTGATGGGGTGGGGCGAGATGAGATGGGAGAGGAGAGGAGAGGGCTAACGAACAAGAATTAGAAGTTTTAAACTGGTTTAGATTTGTAACACTTAGGTGCCTATCTCAATGCAACATCTCTAAAAACTAACATTCAAGTTAAAGAAAAGGAATATACATTTAAAGCAGGGTGTCAAACTGATCATGTCATGTGACATATTGGGACGTATCGTGCCATTTTTTTGCCTTTGCGGAGCCAGGGTGGACGTGGCCTGTATGTGACGCATCCGGCCCGTGGGCCGCCAGTTTGACACCCCTGATTTAAAGGAACAAGAAGAGCCAATACTGGATGAAAGCAGCAAGGAAACAAATACACCCATATCTCACCTCAATTGCTTGGAGTAAATTGCTAGCTGTATCATTCACTCCAGGATGGATTTCACAGAAGCACTCGGTGTTGGCCGTCCAGAGGACAATCACCTTCTCCACCCCACTGGAGTTCTTGAAATCCTGGATATCATGGCGAATCCGAGCCATCTTTGGAGGAAAAAATATGTAAGCAAAATGTCAGATCTTTACTAGAAACAATGAATGAGCAGTTGCATTGCTGCTTCTCACAAAGAACTCATTGCAGAAAGTCATACCAGATTCCTAATCAAGACACTTAAGCCAGTCTTTAGAAATATATCCTGGATGCATCGCAAACTATTACTGTTTGTAAGCCACCTAGAGGGACACGGTGGCTCAGTGGGTAAGACGCTGAGCTTGTCAATCGAAAGGTCGGCAGTTCAGCACTTCGAATCCCGAGTGTCGCGTAACGGGGTGAGCTCCCGTTATTTGTCCCAACTTCTGCCAACCTAGCAGTTCGAAAGCACGTTAAAAATGCAAGTAGAAAAATAGGGACCACCTTTGGTGGGAAGGTAACAGCGTTCCATGTGCCTTTGGCGTTTAGTCATGCCGGCCATATGATCACGGAGACGTCTTCAGACAGCGCTGGCCCTTCGGCTTTGAAACAGAGATGAGCACCGCCCCCTAGAGTCGGGAATGACTAGCACATATGTGCAAGGGGAACCTTTCCTTTTCCCTTTAAGCCACCTAGAGTCACTGAAAGGGTGGCAATATACATTTGCTAAATAAATAAATAAACTACCCATAAATTTGGTTCCAAATAAGCAGGATCCGATTGTGACAAATTGTCAGTTCAATTGATCCAACAGCCTTTAATAAACCACTTTCTTTTCACATCTGAAATAAGAAGGTAACATCCAAGCTGAGTAAGATAATACGCACTATATACTGCCCACTTGGGAAAACCCCCGGATAAAAGTAAATAAATTGGGATTTAACTAATCTAGGCAATTTAGATTACAGTACTACTGTAACATTTGCATCCTCAATTTTTTAAATTTCCTTTCATGCCTAACAGTGCCAGCAATTTCCAAGCAAGTAATTTCCGGCAGCAACTGATGGGAAAGGCCTTTTACTGAAATGGGACCACAGAGATTGTCTGCAAATTGTTGGAGAGAATATTAGGCTAGATGGCCTAAGGCAGCTTCCTAGTTTAATGGGGGGGAAATTAGACAGCTATGTTGTACTGCTAGAGTATATTAGTGAAGAGTGGTAGATATGCCAAGTTTAATCTCCAAAAGCTTTGGATAAAAGGATCTTTAAGGTGAAAAATGACCCCTCAGTTCTTGATCTGCTTTGCAGGCTCATTGAAAACATACATAACTAGGAGAGGCATTTTGGTGTAGGAGTTAAGGCCTAAGGCTAAAAACTGGGAGTTTCTGAGTTCTAGTCCTGCCTTAGGCACAAAGCCAGCTGGGTGGACCTGGGCCAGTCACACTCTCTCAGCTCTGGGAAGGAGGCAATGGCTAACTACTTCCGAAAAACCTTGCCAAGAAAATGGCAGGAATTAATCCAGGCATTTGCCATGAGTCAGAAATTGACTTGAAGGCACCCCTTCACCCCGCAAAAATCATCTCTTATGTAGGCTGAGAAGTCACTTTGCCGTGGTTGCAAACCTGTGACATGTATGTCAAAGGTGACATGCTAGCATTCACCAACACATGATAACAACTTCACGAAAGCACACCCATTCTCATACAATTTTCAGAGGTTACGGAGGCTGCTCTTGTGCGTCTCTAAAGTCTTTCATGTGAGAATGGAGCATACTTTCACATGGTTTTCAGAGGCTGCGGAAAAGCATTATCCAAAGCCACATCAAGAACGGAGGGCCTCATGTGACCTGGAGCTGCCTCAGGTAGGCCTCAGGGGCCTGTTAACAAAAGAAACACTGCCTGAAGGTAAGTGGTGCATGGGCAATCCTGGGGAGCTCTGGGCCAGGGGGACAACTGCACTGTTCCCCAAGCCTTGTGCTCCTTGAGGGATGGTGCAAGGAGACCTTTTAAAGTGGCAGAGGTGATGCTAGAACTGAAATTGAGGCCTTGGCGTTACCAGGTGCTGTTGCTCAGGGTGGCCTAGGTGGGAGGGACATAGTTTTCCTGTTGTTTGGGACGGAGTGGAAGGTGTGACACGCCAGCAAAGTCCATCTAGGCATTTTTTTGTATTTTTGACATGCTGAGTTGAAAAGCTTGCTACCACTGGTTTAATGGTTATGGCTGTAGACAAAGCAGGGAAATCCAAATTCTATCCCTACGTTAGACATGGGGGCCAGGAGGGTGACTTTGGCTTGGTCACTCTCTTAACCCTGGAAGAATGCTCCCAAGATAACTGCTTGGACCTGTCCATCTCATTGCCAAGAATTGAGACTCAATAGGAAGCGCCTGCAGGCTGGACAGAAATGCAAAAGCTGAACCACAAACACCTCCCTCAAAGCCTTGAAGGAAGTGCCCCAAGCACACTTCCCAAAATTGCTATTCAAAATAACCAAATGGTATTTTTACTGCAGAAATATTCTAACTATTTAATTCAGTTTGAACATTAAGCCAGTTTTGACTGATGTAGATTTTAAGCCTAGCCCTACCTATTTAAAGAGTGGCAGACAAAAAAAACGGATCTCACCTCAAAAAAAGACGTAGGTTAGAGGGGTTCCTTTTAAAACAGACTTGTGTTAACTGCTGCACGAATGAATATTGAGCTAGCAAGGACTCTGAGTAACTTTATGCCTTCTACTCACCTGCTCAGCTTTGCTTCCAGTCAGAACATTGTCAGCTCTTTCTCCCTGATTGGCAGCGATGAACTCCGGGATGTAGATGGAAGGCCGAGGCTTCAGGCCTACCATGTAAGGCCGCAGCTGTTCTTGAAGGGGCCAGTCCAAGACCTCAGCCCTGCGCATGGCATCAGCCAAATTCATAGAGGAAATGTCCCAGCCTAGCAGGATGGAATTCAAAATTTATTGGCTGCCCATCTTACCACAGGGTAACTTTGGGCATTAATTGTCAGGCCCATACCTTAATATGACTACCTTCCTTTTTTTTCCCCTTTGACTGTTCTCCCCATTAAAGTATACAACTTTAAAAAGAAGGCAAGCAGACCCCCTTCCCTTGACATTTTTCCCCTTCCAAACCAACACTTACCATCAAAAACAATGTCATTAGGATGTACCATGGGGAGCATATCACGGAAAGGAATATAGACATCTCCAGAGGGACCGGTCCCGAGACATACTGTGGATGCTTGTAAGAGAGAGCCATAGTAGTTGGCATGCTGCGGGGCAGAAGTGGGGAGACCAGACATCAGTATGGGCTAAGAGGGTGAAGCGTTCAATGGAATCACCTAGTGACCTTATCCAGCATGGACCATTTGCTTTTTATATTAAATTTTAGAAGCCTAGAGTTGGAAGGGGCTGCCACCGACTCCAGCCTGCTCCTGAGAGCCAGAATCCAAATTAAAGCATCCTAGATAAGGTTTTGATTTGGTCTTCTAACCAAATATGCTCCATTGGAACATATGTAGGGAAGAGGACTCTCTGGATCATTGTCCCCTCTGATGAATGAGCGTTATTCTGAAGAACTTTTAGGAAGTTTTTAATGTTAGGGAAAGGAGATGCGGTCCTTTTCATCTGTACTTCAAAAGATTTCAGTGCAGATGATAAGAATGGCCTAAAATTGCTTGAAATACTGACTCAGAACTTGCCTGACTCATTCACGACAGATGAGGAGCACAACCATTGCACAGCAGACAATTTTGTCCAGCATCATCATCAGGCCCATCAGGTTACACACCGTTTGGGAGTGTCTTCAAATCAGCATTGAGTCCTGGCAATTGCCTGGACTAGTCTTTCTTGGAAAGGCTTTTTAGAATTGAATTGATTTGCCATTGCCTCCCTTCTTTGGGCTGAGAGAGGATGACTTGTCCAAAGTGACCCACCTGACTTCGTGCCTAAGGGGGGACTAGAACTCAGTTTCCCAGTTTCTAGCCTGGTGGCTTCTTAGATCAAACTGGCTCTTATACACCATTTAGAGACATTTAGAAAAAATGTTAATGGGAAAATATCTGGTTCTCATAAGCTTACTAAGATATCATTTTATATGCAAGCATCATACCCTATTATTTTCTCCTGCCTAAATTATCATCTTTCAAGTCCTTCAAGTCATGTTTAGCCCAAATTTAAGAGATGGTCTTTATATCTCCCCCTCCCCCATAAAATTAAGGTTCCTCCACTGTCCAGACAAGAATTTACTCAGAACCTATGAATACTAGATAAATGAATGATTAATATGCAACATGTTTATATTTTTACCTTATAAGTTGCCCTATTAGCTTCCCACCTTTCTTGCTAATCATAAAATATAGAAACATTCCTTTATATACAATTGTTAAGCACATAACATTCTAATACACAAAATTCTGCCTTCCTTCCTGAAAAGGAGGAATGTTACATAGCTAAATAAAGGAAGATCAATATATTTATTCACTCTGATATTCAGGAAAGTTTGAAGAAAAGATGATCCCAAACTACCTGAACTCAAATTTTTGGGATATAAAAACTGTAAATATTTTATTTTAAAAAAATATCTCACTAAAATTGAGCAAGTCAGCCCAAATGAAAGGGTAGGATATTTTGCCAAACCCATTAAACGACTTTTATGAAACCTGGTAGAATATTCCATAATGTTTATGTTTGGACTGGAGAAGCCTCTCACTAGGAAAAAAACAAAGCTAAATATTCATTAGACTTTGGAAATTATAAACTAGCTTTCTTGCTCACAATTTAAGTCCCTTGCAGAAAACATGACACGTATAACCAAGAGTCTGAATGGCTCACTTACCTTTTGACCCCTCTTGGTCATCCAGGAGAGACCCAGTCTATTGGCCAAAACAGCAGCAGTCACTGTTGTGCCATTGTTTCCCCCCCAGCCAACAAGCATCACACCCAACTTGGGAACCCGCAGGCCTGTACGGAAAGTGAGATCAGTAGAAGTTGGCTTGACCTGCGGAAACACCCCACCATAGAAACCTTGTGAGATCTGAAGCTCAGTGAGGATAGGAGGACTCAGCAAAATATGTTAACTCCAAAAGAAGAAAATCATTCTTATTTCCACACCTAAACCATTTGTCGTGATCTAAACCAGTGATTCTTCACCTTGGTAACATTAAAGTGTGTGGACTTCAACTCCCAGAATTCCCTAACCAGCATGCTGGCTGAGGAATTCTGGGAATTGAAGTCCACAGACTTAAGGTTGCTCAAGTTGAGAAACATTAATTTAGGTGAATGGTTAGAATAACAGCTCAAAATTTCAATGGATCATAGATTACTTCATATTTAATCCTGGCAGCGGATTCCCTCTCACTCACCCAAATTCTCTTCTCCTTGATAACAAAACTCCTACACTTGAGCAATGCTTGAGACTGTGCAGAAGGTGCTGAATTCTTCAGGCTATGCTGTCTGCTTCCATTTAGAAATGACCTTTGCAGATTTTATTGCAGGTTAACTGAGGCACCAATAGGAAGGCAGAACACATTCCCAGGTGATCTTTGTTGCTGCTTTGCTAAGGACTTTAGGATTCCTAATCTACCTTTGAAATCCCTTCCCAAATTCTGTATTTGCTCCAAGAAGCAATTTTCTGTCCTCAGGGTCTACCTCCACCCACCCACCCAGATGGAATGCTTGCAAGTTGGTTTCTTTGACAAAATAGCGACCACCCGTCTATTTTATCAAAGAAACCCACTTGCAAGCATTCCAGGAGTTTTATTTCCTAAGCAAGTGGAATGTCTGGAAGCTTTCTGACCTAGCTTACCCTTTATAAACAGTGGGCAACATAAGAGGCCTAAAGCCAGTAAGTGAAAGAAAACAGGCAAGGCTGACATTCAGGCCTCTTCTTTCATCTCTGCCCTTTATATTAGGGTCACCTAGCCTCTTATTCTTATTTCTCAGCCAGATGTCTGGCCTTTACAGTTCCTTATATGTAGCCAATTTCTTTCTGTTCCCCTTACCTTTGCTTTCCAGTTTTCAATACCTTTTTCCCGCTTTGCCTTCTCATTGGGTAGTTTGGAACCTGGGATCTTTGTAAATCTATAATCCCAGACTACTTTTAGTTTCTTCCCTACAACCTGGAACATATATATTCCTAATACTTTGCTTCCATGGTTCTGACAAACCCTGTCTGGCAAACCCTGGCACACCTCTAAAACTTTCATTGCAAATTTTACTGACTCTACAAGGGGCGCCCCACTTGAAAAAAAATTGTTGTCTTCCTCTTCACCCATTGTTGAAGAACAGGTGGTATCTATGATTCCTTTGGGTCTTAATATAGTACAAGATACATTTAAAAGCTTTAAAAGCTCCTGGAGGGTTTTTCCCTGTTTAATTTTATACCACTTTACTTATATTCAGATACCTAAGATAGGCAATCGACTGTTGCAATCTGAATTCTTGTTTACAACTCCTATCAGCCACCATTTTACTAAGACTGTATTACTATTGTTCTCATCATTCCTATTACCTATTTCCTTTTCTATTTATGACTATAACTTTGTTGCTTGTATCTTTACGATTTATATTATTTAGTTTCCAGTATGATTTATGTTGATTTTTTATTTAGTATCCTATAACTATCACTAAGTGTTGTATCTTATGATTCATGATGTATTTATGATGACTATGATCATGATTTATCACTTATATCTTTTATGTACCCTCAGAGCTTATGCACCAAAAATGAATTCCTTGTGTGTCCAATCACACTTGGCCAATAAAGAATTCTATTCTATTCTAATTCTTTTTTTCCAGAATATTCTCTGCCATCTTCTTTCTACTTTTCCAGCCACATTACCACTGGTTAACCGTTACCTGCTCCATCTTCATTAGCCCCTCATGTCTCATTGGTGATTTTCCCCCTAATAATTCTTCCACATTTCTGCAAAATGTGAAGTTCAGCAGAGTGTCAGTATTTCCTTCTAACAACAGTGCTGGTTGGATATATAACACCTCAGAGAATTTATTGCTACCATCCTCTTCCTCGTCGTCTAATGATTTAGCTATTAGTTTTCCCCCCAGTGCCTTCCAGATGTGTATCTCTCATAATCCCCCACCCAGCACTGGCAAAGCTGAATTTGACTGCTTTAACTGACTTTTAACTGTGTATTTTCCTATTTAAAGCACAAAACTAGTTTGATTTTTTTCAACAAAGAAAAGCCAGTTTGGCCCCATCTTACCTTGGTGACACCATTCTCCTGGCAGACTTGTACTGTGTCATAGGTGTACTTAGCCTCAATGAACTCCTGAGTGTACTTCACGTCTGGGCTGTCCACTAGAAATGACGTTGCCATCTTTGTGCTGGATCAGGAAGGATGGGAACAACCGTGTTAGCCAGAGTTTTAACTCTCTCCTCTAGTTAAAATTGGACACAGAGTTTGAGTTACTATTCTGTTCAGCCGGAAAGGCAAGATGTCTCATCTAGAGGGCAAGCAGCTGGCACAGTTCTTTTGCTGAGAAGGACTAAAGGACTAAACAAGGAGCCTATCTCAGACTAGGCTGCTTAAGGCATTCCCAGCAACCTATACCACGGTGGAGCCGTGGTTAGAGTGCAGTACCGCAGGCTACTTCTGCTGCCTGCAGTTTGACAGTTCAAATCCCACCAGGCTCAAGGTTGACTCAGCCTTCCCTCCTTCCGAGGTGGGTAAAATGAGGACCCACCTATTGTTGGGGGCAATAGGCAGACTCTGGAAACCACTTAAGAGAGGTTGTAAAGCACTAGGAAGCGGTGTATAAGTCTTAAGCGCTGTTGCTGCGGCTATACAAAGACGCCACAAGCAACTCTTCTCTATGGGAATCCTAGGTTTGAAAAAGGAAAGTTTCTCAGAATATTCAGCCTATATATAGTCTCTCTCTATATATAGACTATATATATATAGTCTAGAAGGGATTTCTCTCACCTGCCATATATATATGGCAGGTGAGAGAAATCCCTTCTAGACTCCCAGAATAAAGTGGGAAAAATTAAAGGGAGACAGGACAAGGGACCCTCGGGGAGGGGGGAGTATCCTTTGGGAAGGGGGGGAGTGTCTCCCGCAGGTGGCGGCGGAATCCCTAAAGCAGTGTTTCTCAACCTTGGCTGCTGGCGCTGCTGGCTGGGGGATTCTGGGAGTTGAAGTCCACCCATCTTCAAGCTACCAAGGTTGAGAAACACTGCCCTGAAGGGAGACATGCAGAAGAGCAACGGGGGGCTCTGCAAGGATCCTCGCTTTCCTTGCCAAGCCGAAAACGGTGGGCCTGGCCCGGCCTCCTTCCCACAGTTAGTAGACACCCAACTCCTCCTTTCCTTTCCTTTCCTTTCCTTTCCTTTCCTTTCCTTTCCTTTCCTTTCCTTTCTTCCTTCCCTTTCCTTTCCTTTCCTTTCCTTTCCTTTCCTTTCCTTTCCTTCTTTCCTTTCCTTTCCTTTCCTTTCCTTTCCTTTCCTTTCCTTCCTTCCTTCCTTTCCTTTCCTTTCCTTTCCTTTCTTTCAAGCGGCCAGGTAACGCCAAAGGCTGGAGGGGGAGACACCGGGGAAAACGCCTCCCGCCCACCGCCGTCTCGACTCCCGACCGAATCGGCTCTTGCTTCAATTGCCTCGGGCCATTTAAAGCAGGAGGACAAAAGGCTGAGCGGGAAAGGAGGAGGAGGCGCCGCCGCTCCTCTTACCTGAGAGCCAGGTGCCCGTCCTCCTTTGCCCCCCACCCACCCCCCGAGCAGCGGCTCCAGCTTAGCGCAAGACCCGCCGCGACCCACCTTCAGCTTCAACGGTCGGGTAAGTCCTACTCGCCGTTCCAGCGCGCCGGGGGTTTAATCAAATCTCAGGACCCGCCCCCTCCGCCAAGGCTCCGCCTCTTCGGGGGTGGGGAAAAAAAAAAAAGACCACACACCCTGCATCTTTTTTTTTTTTTTTTGGCCTGAGCACGCCCCTCTCGCCCGGCCCACGTGCGCTGGGGCTTCTTTGCGCTTTGGCTCCTTAAACCCCTTCTTGCCTTAAGGCTCGGTGGGAATCCTTATTTCTCAAGGGAAGCCGGAGCAGAATTCGGGGCGTCTCTGAATAGGTCAAGCTCAGCTAAATCCTGCTTAGCAATCGAACGGGAGACCGCTAGAAAATCCTGGGTTGGGAATTTAGACTGCCGTGGTATATTTATGTATGTATGTATGTATGTATGTATGTATGTATGTATTTATGTATTTATGTATTTATGTATTTATGTATTTATTTATTTGTCGTATTTCTATGCTGCCCACTCTCCGAGGACTCTGGGTGGCTTACACCAAAGACAGTATATTAAATAGCATGTTGCCCCCAACAATCTGGGTCCTCATTTTACCCACCTCTGAAGGATGGAAGGCTGAGTCAACCTTGAGCCTGGTGGGATTTGAACTGTCAAACTGCAGGCAGCAGAAGTAGCCTGCAGTACTGCACTCTATAATGCAAGGGTGTCCATCTTTGGTAACTTCAAGTCCCAGAATTGACTTGACTTGACTTAACTTCAAGTCCCAGAATTGACTTGACTTGACTTGATTTGACTTGACTTGACTTAACTTCAAGTCCCAGAATTGACTTGACTTGACTTGACTTGACTTAACTTCAAATCCCCGAATTGACTTGACTTGACTTAACTTCAAGTCCCAGAATTGACTTGACTTGACTTGACTTGACTTAACTTCAAATCCCCGAATTGACTTGACTTGACGACTAGACTAGACTAGACTAGACTAGACAGAATAGAATAGAATAGAATAGAATAGAATAGAATAGAATAGAATAGAATAGAATAGAATAACAGAGTTGGAAGGGACCTTGGAGGTCTTCTAGTCCAACCCCCTGCCCAGGCAGAAAACCCTACACCACTTCAGACAAATGGTTGTCCAATCTCTTCTTAAAAACTTCCAGTATTGGAGAATGCACACCTTCTGAAGGCAAGTTGTTGCACTGATTAATTGTTCTAACCTACGTTGCTTCTCTCCTTGATTAGTTTCCATCCATTGCTTCTTGTCCTGCCCTCAGGTGCTTTGGAGAATAGCTTGACTCCCTCTTCTTTGTGGCAACCCGTTAGACATCGGAACACTGCTATCATGTCACCCCTAGTCCTTTTCATTTAATTAGACATACCCAGTTCCAGCAACAATTCTTTATATATTTTAGCCTCCAATCCCCTAATCAACTTTGTTGCTCTTCTCTGCACTCTTTCTAGAGTCCATAAGTCTTAAAAGTTGCCAAGGTTAGACACCCTTGGTATAGTAGTAAAGGTGCTTGCCTAGAAGCCAGAAGACCGAATTCTAGTCCCTTTTTAGGCATGAAAAATTGGCTGGGTGACTTTGGCCAATCACCAGGAGACTGTGAGTTCTAGTCCTGGCCTGAAAGCTGACTAGGTGACTTTTGGCCACTCATTCTCTCTCAGCCCAGCTCACCTCACAAGGTTGCTGTTGTGTGGAAAATAGGATGGAGGAGTATTAGGCATGTTTGCAGCCTTTAATTACTTATAAAGCAATAATGGCAGGATAAAAGTCAAATAAATAAACAAACAAGCCTCTTTTGAATTATTGCAATAGACACGTGCACCCTTCTCCTGTGAATGCATCTGTAAAAGCATCAGGAGTTCAGCTCAACGAGGAGAAAGCTTTACCCACCAGAACAGAAGGTGGGGTTGATTCCCTGCCCTAGACAATGGTTATCGATAATTCTTTTGCTGAGATTGGGACCACAGAACAATCAAGAACTTATTCTAACCACAACCTAGAACCGTTCCAAGTTTCCTTTTGATTCCAGCTTCCTTCCAAGGTTCAGTCCTGGAATACTGAATATGGAATTTAATACTGTAATGGAATTTATGGACATTTCTGAAAGGGATGCCTTTAATCCCAGATAAGAAGTGGTTTTTAGACTTTTTTTTATTTTCTTAGACATTCTAGGTCTGGTCTTCCCTAGCTGCTCTTAAAATCCATTGCATTAAGCTAGGGAAAGTTTTCGCTCTCTGGAAGCAAAAAAAAGGAAGAAATCCTCTGTCATTTGACCCCATTCCCTAGGGAGAACTGGCAAGAAACCACAGTACTGTAGTCCTGGAATGTCCCCTCTTCTAATCCACACCCCCACCCCCCCATCACGATTACATTCATAACAATTTGTTCTTAAGCCTGTTTTTGTTCTGAAAGGAGCCGCAGGGAGAGACTGCTACCCATTGTTCTTTTCTTTCATCCAAAAAACATAATTGGCCAATATGTGAATTGGACAAAGAAACAAAAAAGATTTTGTGAGCTTTCAGGTTCTACAGAACAAGGTTACAGAAGTTAGAAATGGACAACAGTTGTAATCCAAAGCTTTGGAAGAGAACCGTTATCACCCAAAATTCAGCAAGAGGTTCTCTAAGACTTGTGTTTTTCAACCTCAGCAGCTTTAAGATGTGTAGACTTCAACTCCCAGAATTCCCCAGCCAGTATGATTGCTCAAAACCTCCAGACAGGTGTCAGGTAATTTAGTCAAGGCAGTGGAGAGAGAATCCTTGAACAAGGGGGTTCCCTTTTGCCTTGAAGGAGATAGTGGTGCATCCTCTCCTCAAGAAATCATCACTTGACCATACAATATTGGCTGTTGGAAGGTCTTCTCCAGGCCCCTTCACTTCTTCTTCTTCTTGTGCCATATCTGTCATCGGACATTGGTGATCCTATTTTTATCAACAGCCACACAAAAAAGTGCTGCTGAGTTTTATCCAAACCAGTCCCTTAGATTTTTAAGCCATGATATTCTTCTTCTGCCTAGACCTCATTTGCCTTCAATCTTTCCCTGAAGTATGGTGTATTTTTCCGGGTGTCGTATCACATGTCCAAAGTATTCTAACTTTCACTGGTTTTGATGATTTCCCTTTGCTTTCCCAGGCGGTTTATTACCACCTCATTTCTAATTTTGTCAACCCAGCTTATACATAACAGTAACTAGTGAAGAGCCCTTCACTAGGGGATCAAATCAGTGGGGGCTCCGCTTTTCGCCCTGGATCCCATGGGCTTGATCTTACTCATTCTTGAAAAGGCTTCAAATGCCATCCGATATTATGGACTGGATTTGAAAATATGAGAATGGATGATATATTATTCCCCACAGCAAGAAGCTGAGATGGTTAAAATGATTCTTTTATCCGAATAAGAGATAATTTTGTCTCTAGCTTGAAATTGCTTCCGGATTCTGTGTTTGCAATGAGGGGGAAAAAAATGAAACTTCAATTCTGTTTTTGTAAACTAAACAGGCTTATTGTCATAGAAATGGCTTGTACATACTGTTGTGTAAAAGCAAAAAGTTGTGGTTGCAATGTTGTTACCTTTGATTGTGCCAAAGAGAGTTGGAAGTTGGTGCCTTTCCCCCCCCCCTTCCTCTCTTCTTACTTTTCCATGTTTTTTTTTCTTTGTGTTTTATACTTCAATAAACTAATAAAAAAGTTAAAATGGAAAATCAGGAACCAGGAGGGCATGCCTGTAGCAGGCAGACATAGTCAATAAAAGCAGGGGCCCTTTCACACACAACACAGAGGTGGGCTGCTGCCTGTTCAGATCAGTTCACCCAAACTGGTTATTCCGATTCTGCGTGGTTCAGAGAACCGGCAAAGTGGACCATTGGCTCGCCCTGGCCCTGCCTGATTTTTGGGCTGTTTTTCGGGCCAAAATCGGCCAAAAAACAGCTTGAAAATGGTCCAAAAAATGGCCTGACAACAGCCCGAAAAACACCCCAAAAAACAGGCTGGTTTTTTTCGGGTCATTTTCAGGCCATTTTTCCAGCCAAAATTGGCCTGAAAAATGCCCAAAAAACATCTTACCCAGCTTCTCTTCCTCTTGTAGCCAGCTTTCCCAGTCTAGCTTGACAG